AGCGTTCATACTATGGATAATTGAAATAAAATCATTAATAATTTGAAATCAAAATAACCTTAAAATTTTGGCCACTTTGGTGACTAACAAAATTTATCATGCTTAATTTCAAATAAATAATATCTTTAATTGCTATTAACCATTCATAGCATTTTTTTTATTAATTTTAATAAATATGTACATTATTCACATAATAAAATATTATGTGCCATAAATAAAATTGAAACTCATAATTTCAATTTTCATCCTAAGATTGATTTTGAATCCAAGACCTTTATTTGCATTTAACGTAAAAGTAAAATTGTCATTCATTCAAAACTTCAAAACTTTTATGAGTAATTTAAACACAGTGGAAACAATACAATTCAATTTGCAAAACAAAATTCATTCATTTATCAATGTTTACATTATAGGTACATTAACAAAGTTTCACGAGTACATTAACAAAGCTTTACGAGTACCCTTGACAAAGCTTTCAGTACCCTTAACAAAGCTTTACGAGTACTCTTAACAAAACTTTACAAGTACTCTTAACAAAACTTTACGAGTATGAGTATATTATACAACTCACCTTAACATAAAAAATAACTCTTTAATTATCCTTCAGCCACATAAAAAAAATATACGTACAAAATAATGTACAAATAATATGAGGACAAAATAATATAGGGATAAAATGGTTTCAGCGAGTCACCAGTCACCAATATGTACATACAAAATAATATTATAAATAATATAATATAATATATGAAACCTGTGTGTTTAACACGTGCTCTCTACGCGCAAAGTTTATCAATTTTACGGTTTATCATTCTTCCATCATAATTATAACATACAATAAAACTAATTTCATACATTATTCACCCTAACCCTATCACGTCATTTATCTTTTCAATTAAAATCAATTACGGGTTCATTCACGCATAGGGGCTATAAAATTGGTTTCAATTTGAACTTGAAAACATAATTAGGGTTTATTCCTTTATTTAATTTTGAGAAAAATAAATTTGGGAATAAATTAGGGTTCATACTAATCTGATAAAGAAATCCCTAAATTCATAATTAGGGTTTATCTTAATTTGGGAAAAACTTAATATTTGGGAAAACTTTCATACAAGAAAAATCATAAATCTAATAATCAGTGCTCTGATACCACATGTAAGACATTATGTAGTTTTCCTACGTTCTTAATTCATTATAGAAAACTACTCTACAGGATCTTTAGATTATTGATTTTCACAATTTTACATACATCAATACATGAATCATAGTAAGAAGACTAACCTTGATCCATGAGAATCTTTTCTTTGATCTTTTCATTCTCCTATCTCCTTTTCCCAATCTATCTCTTTGCCTTTCTTTCTCTTCTCACGTTTCGCTTTCTTGATGGTTTACCGTGAAAAAACCTTATGGCCAGAGACAGAACCCTAATCCCTTTTATTAACCAACGTCCATCAAGTTGGTTACCGTAAGTTAATATTTTATTTTATCTTTATTTTATTCTGACTTCACATAATAATCAATAGGTCCTCATATTTTATTAAATCACATTTGGGCCCATTATTATATTTCACATGAGTCACATAATGAAATGAATTAATTAAATTAATTCTAACAGAAACAACCAAAACTTTTAGCAAAACTATCTACTTTAAGGTCTGACTTTCAACAACAAATGTTCTGGTTGGATGAAATTCCACTGGAGAAATGGACTCAAGCTTATGATGGAGGGAAACGATATGGACATATGACAACAAGTCTTGCTGAGTCTATGAATTATGTTCTCAAAGGAGCACGAGTTTTACATATATCTGCCTTAGTAAAAACAACTTTTGAAAGAATTAAATCTTGGTTTGTGGAAAGAGACATGAAAGTAGAGTACATGTTACGAGCTAGACATGAGTATCCATAACATATCACTACACTGCTTAACAAAAACGAACAACGTGCTCGAATGTGTCACGTTCAAAGGTACAATCGAGATAATTATGAGTTTGATGTACAAAACCAATCCAATCCCCAACTTCATTGAAGATCGATAAGTTACACGATTCGATTAAATTAGTGATGGTGTGATTATGGAGAATTCCAAGCTCTTCGACTCCCTTGTCCTCATGTTATGACTATCTGTTCTTTTTATCATTTACAACTGATTATATTTATCGATCCGATTTACAACTTACAAAGCATTCATAAGGCGTATGAATTTCAGTTTCATCCGGTTCAAAATGAAGATTATTGGTCTACTTATACATGTCCAAATTTTTGTCCTGATCCTAATATGCGTCGAGACACATCAGAAAGACCTACAACTAATCGGATTCGAAATGAAATTGATGTATAAGTTGGAAATAAACGAAAAAAATGTTATTTTTGTCGAAATAAAAAATATAATAGTGCAAATTGTTCATTTTGACAATAAATTTATATTTTTTTAAGAATGTAATATTTTAATATAAATACAGTGAATTAAATTTAACCATGTCTAAATAAATTTATTTTCTATTAAATTAATAATTCAATTAAAAAAATTATTTAATAAATAAGTATTTAAAAAATAAAAAAATGTTTTAAAAAATATAAATAAAAAGTAAAAATCGTGCTTTGAAGTACGATTTCATTAAAAAAGTTGAAATCGTATTTGGAAACACAATTTAAAAAAAGAAGAAGTTGAAATCGTGCTTGAAAACACGATTTTACATAAAATAAAAAAATTTGAACCACTGAAATCATGCTCAACTTCATTCGTCAATATCATCTTCTCTTTCACGATTTATTTTAGTAAAATTTGAAATTTTTGATCCCATTTAGTAAAATTGAAATATTTTTAACCCATTGTTTAAAAAAAGCCCACTAAACACACCATAACTATGTTTTTTAAGGAAGATATGTAATTTCACACAATTTATTCAATTATGATTTTCCATATGTTTTAATTCGCTAGTATTCAGTTTTATTCGTAATTGGCAACACAAGAATCCTATCATTTTAATTTTGTACAACTTTCATTTACTAAACGCCATTGCTCTTAAACACGATAATATAAATAATTTAGGTAAAAAATAAAAAATGTAAACGAATGCAATCTTTATTTATATATTTTAGCGTAAATAACCCAAGATGTCAATTTAATATTTGAAAATTTTGAAAATTTTATTTTAATTTCGTAATGTGTAAAAAATCACACAATTACGTTTTATTATTAAATTTGTAACACTATTTTTGTAATTAAATAAGTAATTCTAAAAACCAATTGAACAGTAAATTATATATATATATATATATATATATATATATTTGGATTGTTCATTAATTACTTTTATTTAGAATTTATAAAATTTCAAATTGATTGGTTTAGAAACTGAAGAAAAAAAAATAGTGGTTTTGTTAAAATTGGGCTTTCAAAAATATTATTCGAAGCTGACCCAATTAAGAAGAAACTATAGAACCTGCCAATTGAAAAGGAAACCAGGGTTTTGGGATTTATAAGTGTCACCCGCTTTCTCCTCCTCTGCTGGACTCATCGTTCATCATCTTCTCTGGTCGGTATTCTCTCATCTGGTCGGTATTTTCTCATGCGTTTATTCTTTCTTAATCCTTTGAAAACTATTTTCTAAGCTTATTATCACTACCTTATATTAAACTTATGGGTCTTCGTGAAGGAGTCACTCAACAAAGATACAAAGATGCAGAACGAAGAAGAATAGATCACTGAGCTTTACATCCCTAGGAAGTGGTATGCACTTTAGTCCTGCAATACTTTTCATTTAACTTTTAACTTTTGAAAATCTCTCTTTAATGGTAATTTCTTTTATTCATTGAGTTTGGGAATTTGATTATATTTTGTGAATATGGTGTAGCTCTGCTACAAACCGATTGATTACTGCGAAAGACCATGCATCGGTTGAGATTAACATTGGGCATGTGGACGAGAATGGCATTTACAATGGGCAATTCTCCACCTTTGCCCTTTGTGGCTTCGTCATTTATTTTCACCTTTTTTTTAATTCTGTTTCTGGAATTGCTTTATTATTTATTATTTATTCCACTTAATATTAGTGCTTTTGTTTATTTTTTACCACTATTCATTGTCTGGTTTACTGTATTGGTTTTGTGCGTTCACTAATGTTTTGGGTTGATAGAGTTTTTGTTGAACCTGTTATACTCATTATGTTAATGTTACTATCATCCTGAATATGAGTATGAAAACTAATACCCGTTTATTTTCTGCATATATATATATATATATATATATATATATATATATATATATATATATATATATATGGATTTTCAAATCCTTCAATAAAACAGATTCTTTGTATATATTTTTTCTCCTTTAATTATTTTCTTAAAGATAACGATAATTAACAATGGTTTAAATTACTACCAATTTAATACCAGATTTTTTTCTTCTATGATGAAAATAAAACAGATCCTTTATATATACTTTTTCTCGATTATTACTTTAACTTCTGTTCAGATTCCAGTCTCTATTTGGAAGTTCCATGTTGAAAAAATTTTCTATTTGTATTCAGATTTCAACTTTTTTGAAGTTTTGAACTTACATGATGAAAAATTCCTGAAAATTGTTTACTTGAAAATTGTGTGCTAGTTTACTATCTGTGTTCAGATTGCAGTCTCTTCTCTTCTCTTCTGAGCTGTAATTCTTAGTTCATGATTTTTTTTTTACGAAATTTTTAAAATTGTTAGTTTACTTGTAGTTTTTTACTTGAAAATTGCTTGTTAGTTTATTATTTGTGTTCAGATTGCAGTCTCTTCTTCTTCTTCTCTTCTAAGCTGTAATTCTTAGTTCATGTGCAATTTCTTTTTTCAGGTTTAAAATTGTTTATTAGTTTATTATTTGTGTTCATATTTCTTATTTCATTATTTTACACGGAATTTTCAGGGTGATGCCGACAGTGGCATAGATAAGACAGTAACAGAAGGATCTGCGAGAAGAGAATAGGATCTGCGAGAAGAGTATAGGATCAGAATCGATGACAGACAACGTGGTGGACAAGGTAGTGGAGGAGGTGGAAAAGGTGAAAAAGGAATGGGAAGAGACGTACAGGAAAACGCAGGAGCACATCGAGGCAATCGCAGAATACGGAAAATCAGGAAGGGCGAAAGAGGAGAAAATTTCACTGGCTAGGTTGAACGGGATCACTCAGGATGGCTTCACACTTCTCTCTTCCTTCCTTTTCACCCTCGATCTTCTCGCCCCTCAGTTGCCCTCCCAATCGGAGGTCCATTCTGCTCGCCAATTAGTTCAATCCTGGAAAACCCTAATCCAAAAGTATCAAATCTCTCTCAAATCATTTTTGCTTGTTATTCAATGGATTGAATATGCATTTATTTGAAGTAGTGGTGGATTGTGAGTTTTAGTTTGTTTGCAACTTCTATTTTTAGTGTACTTTTATTATTTTTAAAATTTTTGAACAGTTTGCAGTCGAATAGGAGGAATGCCAATTTGCAAGCGAAGGCTAACTTGAGGAAAGCTGCTCAGGAGGAGGCAATATACTTACTTTTCCTATTTAGTATTTCTGATGTTATTTTGAATATAGTCTGATCTAATCCACGACCAACCTAGTGAATTTAGATAAACTTCCTTATAAGCATTCCTTGAAAAAGAAAATAAGAAAAAATAAATAAATGAGATTCTTCCAAAGCTAATTTAGCTTATGAGTAAACTAGTTTATTGAAACTCTTCAATATTAGCATCTCTAAAAGAGATTATTGACTTTTGTATAAGTTAATTCTAACTGATGGAAAACTTATTTTATTATTTTCCTTTGTATTTTTTTCTCTTAAAAATGTTTCTGGAGAAGTTTATCCAAATAAATAGATCCTATATTGATAACAAACCTGTTGTATTGTGATCATGGACTTGTGTGAATTGTGTTTCCTTCCATTGTGCTGCATGACTTATTGTATTTCTTTATTGTGCAGAGAGAACTACTTTTCGGTGGTGGAGAAGAGTCCACAGCTCGCAGGCGCAATTTACAGTATGTCTTTGGTGTCTCAGTTGGCTGGGCTTAAATTATGCTTTCATATTTCTTTATTTATTGTTTAGTGCTATTTCAATGGAAAATTCAGTCTGCACGATGCCAGGATGAAGTATTTTGGTCCTCTAAATTGTGTGATGTTCCAGGACAAAAGCTGGAATGACATCTGCTGCAGAGAGCATAACGGAAAGCCTTCGTCGTACTCGGCAATTGATGGTTCAGGTTAGTTGTGAGGCTTTTTTTCCACGAAACTTATTGTTTTGTTGTGCTATCTAGTCCTTCACCAAATCTTATCCTTTGTAGTTTGTTGATTATCTTATTCATTATATCTCTTTTGTCTTGATTAGGAGGTTGAAAGAAACACAAGCACACTTATGACTCTCGGTAGGTACTTTTTCCTCCCTCTCTCCCTGTCTATATTGATAATAGCTATTTTATTTGTCCACTTTTACTTTGATTTCCAATTGTATTAAATCATGTTATCTTTTTGGTATATGTCAAATTTATCGGAAGACTAACAAAAATGTATAAATAATTTTAAGCTGGTCAAAATAAGTTAGATTCGAAGAAAGGTGGCAGGTAATGAATTTCAAATTAGCTGGCAGCTATTATGTTTACAGCAACAGGCTGCTCCATTTCATAATTTTAAAGCCTTTTTTCTTTTGGATTGAATCTTCATGTCCATCAACAATATTCCATGCCATCAGATTATCCAGATTTTGAAAGCTTTGTAAGAAATTGATGATATTCATTATCCATATGAATTTTTCACATTCTCTTTTTACCACTAATTGAATGTAGTGCAGTGTAAATAAAATATATGTTAACAAACGGAAAGATTTGATAGAAAACAGGATTATGCTTAGCTTACTTGAATTAACATAATGTGAACAGTGTGCACTTTGGTGAAACTGATATGGACCAAAAAGTGGTGATATGAAAGGAGAGTATATTGACCTTAAATTGTGAAATCAAAGTATCAGTTGAAGATGAAATCGTGCAGAATATCAAAGAAGAAAATAAAAGAATAGGAAGATCTCAAGAAAGAAGGGATGGATGTTAACTTTCACCATAGCCCAAGGATGATTCCATCCACTCCCCTCCTCTTCTCAAAATTAAATATCTACCCTCTTTGACACCACCCTCCAATCTTGAACTACTAATGGGCCTCACTCAATTTCCATTTAGCCTAAGTGTCTTTCCCCTTAATCTTGGTGTGGTCCTCTTCCCTCTTTTTCTGGAGTTTACCTTTGATATGTTTGGGCCATGACTTAAATGCTGCATCATTTTTCCCTTGACAGTAGTCACTGAGTTGGGCTCCCGAGTTTCATCAGAAACCTTTCAAGTTTCTCTCCTTTCCTTCTTTTTCAGGCTTGACTTCTGTATGGTGTTAGGTCAATTTTATTTTTATTTTTTTACCTTTCTAAGCCATGGTGTCATGTTGCTCAATTTTTATGTGTCTAATGTTCTTTCCTTCAGCATTAGTTTTTCCTTTCCTTGGTGTCTCCCTTTCTGCCGCCCATTCCCCTACCTTGCCCCTCCAAAAGATTACAAAGTTAAATGAACAAGCATAAAATCTGACAGTAGAATCCCTACTGCCTCAAAGCAAATTCAAGATCCTTGAAAAACACTCTTGAAGCTGAATATTGAAGAATATAAAGTTGAAAAATCTTGGATTCCTGTTAAATTTTTTGGACATCTATTAGGTTGAACTTGTTAATGTTTACAAAGTTTCCTTGAATGTTTGTTGTGTACGGAATTGACAAATTTGAGCATTTATATGTAGAAAGTGTACTCAGTCAGCCTAAAGCCATAAGGAATAAGATGTTATGATGCCATAAATTACTAAGTGAAATGAAGATATTATAGTTTGGATTTAAATATGTTGAAGTTAAATGGTCAGTCTTTCTAGGCATGTGATTTTGATGAGGATAATACTTTTCTTTTTAATTTTACAAGGTAAGACACTTCTAAGTAGGGGTGTCAAAGTGAGCCAACCCAGCTCACACGGGTTGGTTCACCTCGGGCTGAGTTAAAAATAGGCAAGCTCAACCCGGCTCACTTTATGGTGAGCCAGAAATTTCACAACCCGGTTCAACCCACTACGGGTTGGTGGGTTAGGTGGGTTGGCTCACTAACTCACATTTTTTTTTGTTTTTTTTTTTCTATTAAGCACGACTGAACATAATGATGCGGTGGTACAACAAACTTTGTAATGTAACTGAAATGCAGCAAATGTTATGATACAACTGAAACACGGTAACATGGTGAAGTGACGAATGCACTGGTGCGACGAATGTGGTGACGTGACAAACGTTGTGGCGCGATTGAAATGTGAGATTGAAACACTGTGGCCTTGGCATAACAAAAGTTATGATGCGATTGAAACACGAAACTGAAATGCGAGAAACATTATAACGTTATTGATGATAATCTTAAGTGAGAGTTTGACTTGTAGTGACAACATGGAATAGAGGTGGAGAAAAAAAAAGCATCAATTAAAGTTAATAAATTATTATTAATTATTTTTAAAATTTTACGGCTCGAACCCGTTTAACCCGTGGGTTAAGTAAGCTGGGTTCATTTTTAACCCATTATTGGCAGAAATGAAAAAAATCGAACCCAACCCGGCTCGAACCCATGGTGAGCCGGGTTGGCTCACGGATTAGAACCCATATTGACACCTCTACTTCTAAGGGGTCACATGGGAATGAAATGAGGAAAGAATAAGGTATAGTAAGTGAAAAGTAAGGAATTAGAGTGAAGGGATAATAAGAAACAACATTCATTTTCCCCTTGGATTTAAAAAATCAGGGGAAAGAAAAGAGAGGTAAAAAATTTAAGTTGTATCCCAAATCTTGACCAGTTCAAAATGGAGGCTTGAATGAAATATGAGGGATATTTATTAATCCTTATAAAAGTCTACAATTTTTTTTTTTTAAAACTATTGCTGTCCTTCACCTTCCTTTAACTATCCCACTAGATCCAAAAATAAGCTTGAGCTTTATGTATGATTTGGCATATATTGATTTTTTTATTATTGTTTGAGGATATTTTATAGGGTTCCGATAACAATGACATAAGTAACTTTACGTATTTGTATATATTCCTATGGCTCATTATTATCTTACATGGTAGAGAATAAGAGGGTGTTAGGCTAACCTATGAGGTTCAAATTTGTTTATATTTGGAGCCAAATGTTTCAATCAGTTTTGACGACTAATTGACAAGTCCTTCTGTTTTTTATTCTACCAAATATCAATGACATAGTTTACAGGTTTGAAATTTGAATTACCCATAGCTCCTTATGTTTAGTAGATTATAATCTGCATGACAGTTTTCTCTTGGAATCTGATTTTACGTAAAGATGTTTCTTTGTCAGTATTTGTGCTGGATTTTTGTTAAAAACTTTAATTCAACTATATTGGTCTTTATGAACTGAGATGCTGAAATTGTTGTTTCTATTAATATGATTATGGGAGTGTGAAATAATGATGTTGTTCTGGATATTTGTTTTGCAAAATTGCTTTGGTATGTAGATGAATCAACTGGACTGTTAAAAAAGGTTGAAAGTGAATATAAAGGGCACCGCACTTTGTTGTCGAGAACACGAAATCTCCTCTCCGTTATGCAACGTCAGGATGTCATGGACAGGTATGGAAAGAAAAGTTGATTTTATTATCCACCAAGTTTGTTGTTCCTCAGTGCTATTACTAACAATTAACTATTTAAATAGGGTGATACTTGGGGTTGGCTTTTTTTTGTTCTCCCTTGCTGTTCTTTATGTTGTCTCCAAGCGGATTGGACTACTTGCGTTGCAGAGAAAGGTTACTGAGGCCATAAAAGCTGGTATGGTGGGACAGGCAGAGCTAAGACCACAAGCTGTTGCAGATGACTTGAATCTTTATCAAGTCATAGACGATCATGTTCATAATATAGAGGCTCCTTTAGAACAAAGAATACATGATGAACTATGATAATCATGTTGTCAGTGTTTATTTACATACATTGTGATCCTATACCCTCACAATTCAGCATTCTCTTAATGCTTAAATATGACTAAAGTAAAAGTATTTGCAATCTTGAGAGTTCGAAAATCATTTATACCTTTTGTTTAGGTAAGGATTATTGATTGATCTGTTATAATGAATTAAAAAATCTCTTTCTGTATTTATTTTAGTTTCCGCCACTTACACCCTCCAGCATGAGCAAGGTCATAATTGTTGACGAGTTGTCTCTACCTTTTTATTGTCTCCTACACATCACCCGTATTTAAGATCTGAAACTGACAAGAAATATTAGAAAGCATCATATAATAACATTGGCGCCACAATAATATCCAGATATTTATCAAAACAAATACAACTGAGTTCAGCTGCAATGAATCCGTTATCATAATTTCAGAGTCATGATTGCAACATATGAAACGTAAACAAATGTTATTAAAAAATAAAACCAAATTTGAGGCTTTTGTTTTCGTGCGCATTAACTCTTATTATGATTAACGTGTCCCTCCTTCCAAGTGTGTCGGTAATTGAGGTAAATATTCGACCCAAGTGAAAACATGTAAAAGTTTATTTTTCTAGTGAAGCTACGTACGTGAGTAGTGTGTTGGAGAAACTGTCAGATATACCATTAAAAGTATATACTATTCTACGAAAAAAAAACTTGTGTAGATTCTATTTATACAATTTTGATAGATTAAAAAATAAGAATAGACAAATTATCACGCGATATAAATATTTGACTGCTTGCTTGTTAAATAAAATGATAAAAATTTAGTTGAATTTGTTTTTTATGCTGTAATTCAATTATCAAATGGTAAAATCTTCCTGGATATCCACATAAAAATCTATGTTGTAGTATAGTTATAAATAATCTTGTTCTTTAAGTATATCGGTAGAAATCCAACCTAAGAATAGTGTACGAAATAAAGAATCTTAATGCTGACATAAATGAATCCCACAAACCAATATTAATATTTAAAGAAAAAAATCCGGATGGATAAATTTTTATATATGATTCAGTTAAAAAGTAAATTTGTATTAGAGATTTGTTAAATTTGATAAATTTTCACGTATCAATAAGAATGTGTATATGGTTTAATGGACAGAAAGTAGTTTGGGACCTGAGATTATTATGTTTTGGTAGAATTGGGAGGTGGAACGAGGTCAGGAGACGACACACTTGGTCGGGAAGACGGTGAAATTTACGGGACAACACAAAATTGAATAACGCAATGTGCATCTGATGGACCACGACCATAGAATTGGGCCCGCAACACCCAAGGAGGCCATTGGGCCAACCAAAAGAAAAGGCATACACAACGGATATTAATAATTTTGTGACGCTCCACCACACCACAATTCTCATCCCCTTTCCACTCCGAACCCTCCATCAGCGAGAGAATGTAATGTGTAAGGAGATAAAATAGCAATGGAGAAAGAAAGAAAGCAAAAAGAAAGCAGCAGAGAGAAGAGAACAGAATATAACCTTCCATGCTTTACTCCTCCCACTAACCGATTATATACTAACAAGCACCTCACACATAGTCCTTCCAACGTGAGTTCGTTATTTTGATCCTCTCACTCTTTCGCACTCCCGCAACCAACGAATTCGCTGCCACCTGTCCACTTGGTGATGCACCAGCCTCAGTATTCTTGTCATTTCCCATATCTACTCTTAGCTCATTTGCATTTGTGACAATACCTTCCCCTTTAGCAGCAACCTTGTCCTCAAGGTTGAAAGTTGGAAATGCCTCAGTCATAGCACCATGATCTTCCCAAGTAGATTGTGAAACATCAAGTCCTTGCCATTGAACTAAATGTTGGGTCACCTCTTGAGATCCCCGAAGTATCACACGGGTCTGTAAGATACCAGCTGGTTGCACTGTGGGATCCAGTTCATTCGTAGTAATAGGAATTGGAACATAAGGGTAGTGATGTTCCCCGTGGCAGAATTTCAACTGGGAGCAATGAAAAATTGGATGAATCCTTGTAGCTGGAGGTAACAGTAATTTATAAGCCACCTGTCCAATGCGCTCAACAATAGGAAAAGGACCAAAGTACCTCATACTTAGCTTTTGGTTTTTTCGTAAAGCAACAGAATGCTGCCTATATGGTTGTAATTTGACCAGAACCTGATCACCCACCTTGTACTCCACATGACTTCTTTTCTTATCAGCATATCTCTTCATGTACTGATGAGCCAAAAACTACTTGTAAACACCTTATCTCTGTCAGAGACAATTGTTTTAGGTACTCTGTCAGAAACAATTGTTTTAGGTACGTCATGCAATTTAACAACTGTTTTCATAAACAACTCAGCCACCTATTTGCTAGAATAATCTGACTTCAACGGGGCAAAATGCGCATACTTTGACAAACGATCTATAACCACCAATATAACTGTGAAACCATTAGAAGATGGAAGACCGGTGATAAAATCCATGGCCAAATCTTCCTAAATCTGATTTGGAATGGATAGTGGCTGCAACAATCCCGAGGGCAATGAAGTGGTAGCCTTAGCTTGTTGGCAAATGAGGCAAGTCTGAACAAACTTACTGATATCCTTATGCATTCCTGGCCAATAAAACTGAGCAGCTATCTTGCAAAGGTTCTTGTAAAATCAGATATTAGGGATGAGAATTAATCCTGTACCCATAAGGATCGATCAGAGTTTGATGGAAAAAATTTGAGTTTACCGAGAATGAGTTTGGGTTTTCCCCACATTAAAAAGTCAGGGACTGGAGATGAATAATGCAATCATCGTCCCGATCTCATCCCAATTTTATATTTAAATTTAAATTTTAAAATATTAATATTTAAAAAATATTTTTTTCTTTTTCTATTATATACAAGGTCATATTTTTTATATTTCACTAATTTTTACTTTTCTTTTATGCACCTTTTAATTTTTTTGTTTTTTTAATCTTTTATATTAATTAATTTATTATATTATTCTCTTTCTTACCTTTCAATTTTTTCACATTTTCTTAATCTTTCTCATCAATATTTTTTTCAATCTTTTCAATCAATTTGATGAACACAAAGTTAATTTTTTTATTCATTATCTTTTTCTAAATATTTTACATAAATCTTAGTAGTAGTTAATATTATTTTATTTATAATTTATATTTATTAGATTTTATTATGTCATATTTTTTTATCTTATTATTCTTATTTATCATATATCAAATTTTATCTTAATAAAATAATTGTATTTTAAATGATTAAAGAAATTGATAATTTAAACTTTTATTACTTCGAATTAACTTATTAAATATTTCTTTATAAACTATATATTTCATATTTTTAAATGACAATTTAAAAATGAATTAACTTATATATATAATCAAATGTTTGAATACAATATTATAATAATAATAATGTTATAAGTATTCAAACATTTGAGTACAGATGTTATAATAATATTGTTGAAAGTCCCACATCGCCTACCTCATGTCATTTGGTATGTTTTAAATACATGTTAGGCTACTTCACATATTGCCAATTGGTTTTATGTTGGAACCTTAACATGGTATCAGAGTCAAAGCCTAACATGTTTCCGGTTATTGTCATGGGCCAAAGGTTGCCCTTTAGTTGGGTCAAAAAGTACCATTTGCCTGGTCCGGCAACCCTCGTTGGAGGGGGTGTGTTGAAAGTCCCACATCGCCTACCTCATGTCATTTGGTGTTAGGCTACTCCACATATTGTCAATTGGTTTTATGTTGAAACCTTAACAAATATTATTATTATAAATACAAAATGATTAAATATTTTTTTTACATACATATTTTAATATAAATATAATAAATTAAAATGTATATTAAATTAATAATAATTATAGATAGTAAAATTAATTTATTATAGATGTAATTATCTTTTAAAAAATAATATAGATCGGGGACGGACCGGAAAACTCGAAACCCAAGCAAGAACGGGAATGGAGATTTAATTTCTAACCTGGCGGGGATCAGTGACAAGAATGGGACGGTTAAAAAGTCAGGGGAGGGGGCGAGAATCGGGAGGCAAAACCCGCCCCTGCCCCGGTGCCATGCCTGACCCAGAGTGGCCCCCAACCAAGGAACTTGGAACTCCTGCAAAATTTGTGAAATTAATGACTGTTGTGGAGGCACTACCAAACGATTCTTCCAATACAACAAATCATTCTTTACTGTATAATTAGGATGAGGAGGCTTCCCCTTATAGCAAAGATCTAAGACATCTTTCAATTTTTTATCAACACCAATTGCTTCCTTAAGCCGAGGCAGAATTTGAAACTGTGGTTGGGACCAAGCCATAAGGAAGGAGCGAGATAAGGAGTCCGCAACAATATTTTCTTTTCCTGGTTTATACTCTATAGTAAAATCATAGCCAAGTAACTTTGGTAACCAAGTTTGTTGCTCTGGAGTTTTGAGTGCCTGATCAGTAAGATTACTTAAACTTCTCTGATCAGTTTTTAATGATAAATTGATGGCCAAGCAAGTAATGTCTGAATTTTGCAACTGCTTCCGTTATGGCAGAAAATTCCCGAGAATATGCCGATTGTTTCTGCATTCGTGAGTTCAGCTGCTTGGAGAAAAAGGCACTTGGGTGATGATTTTGACTAAGGACAACACCTATACCAGTCCCAGATGCATCAGTCTCAAGCACAAACGGTTTTGAAAAATCCGGTAAGGCAAGGATGGGTGCTTGAGTAATAGCATTCTTAAGAACCTGAAAAGCTGATGAAGTAGAATTGTCCCAATGAAAATTGTCTTTCTTCAATAGGTTGGTAAGAGGGGCTGCATGTGATGCATAGCCTCTAACAAACCGCCTGTAATAACTTGTAAGACCTAAGAACCCACGCAATTGCTTAAGATTCACGGGAGTGGGCCAATCTAACATTGCTTTAACCTTCTCCTCATCCATGGCCACACCAAGACCAGATACTGTATGGCCTAAGTAATCTACTTGCCGCAGACCAAAGGAACATTTTGACAGTTTGGCACACAATCTATGTTATTGCAACAGCTGAAGGACCCTTTCTAAGTGTTGTAAATGTGCAGACCATGATGGGCTATACACAAGGATATCATCGAAAAATACAAGCACATACTTCCTCAATAGCTCACTAAAAACCTCATTCATCAAACTTTGAAAGGTGGCTGGAACATTTGGTCACAAATGACATTACTTGCCATTCATAGAGTCCTTGATGAGTACGGAAAGTTGTTTTGTGCCGATCTTCTGAACTAACTAAAATTTGATGGTATCTGGATCTGAAATCCAACTTAGAGAAATATTGAGCTCCAAATAGTTCATCAAGTAACTCATCCACAATTGAAATTGGAAAGTTGTCTTTTATAGTAATTGCATTTAAGGCTCTGTAATCAGAGCAAAATCTCCAAGTACCATCCTTCTTCTTGACAAGGATTATAGTTGAGGAAAAAGGACTAGTGTTAGGCAGGATAATCCCTTCCTGTAACATCTGTTGCACCATTTTTTCATTATGTTCTTTTTGACTATGAGGATACCGGTACGGTCTGACTTTGATAGGGCTAGCCCCTTCAAGCAAGGGAATCGAGTGATTATGAGACCTATTAGGGGGTAATCCTGTTGGAATGGCAAAACCATCTCTGTAAGTGTATAATAAAACTGCTAATTCAGGGTCTAAATCCGCAGGCAAATCCAGCCACTGATCTTGAGAGCAGACGGAATGTTGAAATTGTAAGGTGAATAATTAAGAGATGGCATGAGTATTAGTCATCCGTCGGAGGTGGTGAAACTGAGCTGGACGAGGCAATTGAGGTCGTTTGCCATACCATGTGACAAATTGATCACCGGCAAGGAATTTGATAGTTAGGGTGCTATAGTCTGAAATATAAGGGCCCAAAGTTGCCAACCAAGCAACTCCCAAAACTAGATCAGCTCCTGCAACAGGTAAAAGATACACAGGTAGCGTCACAGAGTGTCCTTATATCGTTACTTCCAGCTCTTGTACCAATCCTTCAGCTACTAAGATATGGCCACTACCAACGACAACCTGAGTGTTAGGGGCAGGTTCGATGGGTAATTTAAGACAATGAGCCAATCTAGGCTGTATGAAATTATCAGAACTGCCACCATCCAATAAAACCTGCACCAACATGCCGTTAATGAGCCCTTGGAATTGCATCGTACCCAAACCAGAAGAACCATTCAATGCATTATATGATAAGTGATGTTCCTGCAGCTCCTCGGAATTATTTTGCACCATCTGATCCAGGGAATCAACTTTCGTCTCATTATCATCCATCTCCTCCACTTGTAACAACAAGTATTGTTTATTAGGACACTTATGAGAGGGGGAGAATTTTTCATCACAATTATACCACAACCCTTTTTTCTCTTCGCAACTGCATCTCGGCAGGGGATACTCTCTTGACATTAGAGAGTCTAGGTTGAATATGACTCGAAGGGTGAGGTGGGGTAGGTAAAAGAGGAGGGAAATTGGTTGATTTATGAGTTTGGGTCTGGGAAACGTGGCTGGTCATAGTCTGTGGTTTGAGATACTGGTTGGGATGGTAAGGTTTTGGTTTAGGGGCATATTTTTCTTCATACAATTTGGCTAAAGAAACAGTTCTGAGCAAGGATGTAGGGGTTTGAGCAATGACTTCCCTCCGAATATCAGATTTAAGGCCACTAATGAAACAATCCAGCAGTGCATCTGGACTCACACCATACACTCGGTTAGACAAGGAAGTGAACTCCACATAATAATCATGTACGGTACCCATCTGCGACAGTTTGAAGAACATTCATAAGGAGATGGCCCAAATTCGTATTCCAGTGCTCGGGTAAACGCAATCCAAGTATGAAAAGGAGTAGTACGAGACATCATTTGGAACCAAGGAACGACGTCCTTTTCCAAATGGATAGCAACTATAGTAATGCGTTGGTCATCAGGGTCTTATAGTAATCAAAAAATTGCTCGGCCTTGAAAATTCATTGCAGAACATTGGTGCCATCAAAGCGAGGAAAATCTAATTTGATATTGTGTACCTGAAACGGGGTCGTATGCGCTCCGGAGCTCGAATCCCCGGCTGGACGTTTATGGACCATGGCATCGATGGCTGATTCCAGAACTTCGAACCGGTTTGAATAATCCTTATCCCTAGTTTCTATCAACTCCAAAATGCGTTTTACATCAGCACTGAGTTCCTTCATGCGTGTGTTTTCCGCCATGAAGTCAACGAAAGCACCAAATTGTAATGTGTAAGGAGATAAAATAGCAATGGAGAAAGAAAGAGAGCAGCAGAGAGAAGAGAACAAAATATATCTTCCATGCTTTACTCCTCCCACTAACCGATTATATACTAACAAGCACAGTCCTTCCAACCACATAGTCCTTCCAACGTGAGTTCGTTATTTTGATCCTCTCACTCTTTCGCGAACTCGCTGTCACCTGTCCACTTGGTGATTCACCACCAGTTTTTTCTATTTTTCTCTTTATCCTTTTTCTGTTCGTTTTCCGGTTTCTTCTCACGCATCAACAACTAAATCCGACAATTTCAATTATTTTTCTTTTTTTATTTTAATATTTTTGCGTTGAATTTTCTGAGCTGGATTCCTATTTGATCTTGATCTGATCGTTGAACTTGAACGGTGCCTTTTTGTGTGTTTTTTCGGAAATATAAATCGTGTCGTGTTCAGATCTGCTTTCGGTGTCGATCGAGTTTTTCCCAAATTGATAGCCTATTGTCATAATTTTAATGCGGATTGCAATTTACAACTGCGCATGATGTGTGATGTGTTTGATCTGCGGAAAATCGGTTTGGGATCTTACGCGTGGGTTCGATTTTATTTATTTTAATATTTTGGGGTGAGCTTGTGGTTTTAAATGGTAATTATGCAAGGAATTTTCAATTAACGCATATATTCTTTTTTTAACATATGTTCTTATTCTTTTGTATATATTCTTACGCTTTAATTAGACATGGTTTTTTGGTCACGGTTCTTTTATTAGATTTATTAATGGATGGATATGATTTATTTTTGTGTTTGAATCAGACACGATAAACATAACACAGCTTTTTACAGATGTTTACTCCTTTGGCACTAAACGTTTTTTGTTTCTAGCTCCTTGATTTGGACGATACTGTGTTTGTAGAATTGTTGTTTACTTTGTTGGTTGGCGACATATTTCTAATGCATTTTATTGTTCTCAATCTCTGAATGAACTCTTGTAGACCCAAATCTTGCCAATCACACGAATATAGCCTAGCAATCCTCCATTCAACTATGGACAAGGTTTTTTATAGTCCCTACACATATGTATTAGATTTCATACAAGGATAGGAAAACTTTTTGTAAAAAAAAAAAAAAAAAATAGAAAAATTTCGATCGGGACCCCGGACGACCGTCTCGGCTTTTCAAATGGTCATCCCATTTTTTCTGGAAGATCGAGACGACCGTTTCATTTTACCAAACAACTGTCTCGTTTTACCATACGACTGTTTCACTTTTTCTTGAGGCGAGACAATCGTCTCAAAATCTCATACGGTCGTCTCACTTGTCAAAAGTTCAGACGGTCATCCCGACCTACCTGAAACATTTTCCTATAAATAAGAGTCTCATTCCACCCATTTTTACACACCATTCACTCCTAACACTTTCTAGGAAGCCCTTTTGGCACTTTAGAGTGACTTTGAGCATTTTTTTTAGAATTTGAGTGAGTTTTTCGATTTTCATTAAGGTAGAAATCGATTAAGGAGCTTTCCTTTTTAGACATCCGGCCTTCGACAGGGTGATACTTTTATTTTTTGATCAAGGAAGGAGTGTCTCTCTAGAGTGCAGAGACAACCAAGAAACGTCCTCAAGTTCAACATTTATGAAAGTTCGTTTAAGATGTTCTTCTTCATATCTCTTCTCTTTTACTGCTTTTCTTGTATGCACTAGATATTAGGGCCATATAAATATTTAAATTTTTGCAAAGTAAATAAATAAATAGGGTAGAAGCATAATTTCTCTTAGCCTTTATTTTATGAATTAGTCCATCATAAGGAACCTGATAAAGGCGTTGTGGGGTGTTAACACCTTCCCCACACGTAACTAACTCCCTTACCCAACTCTGGTTGTAACGGCTAAAGTTGGTTTTTCTAAAACCAATGTCTTCTTTTCTTCTTTTTCTGATGTTTATAGTAAAAATATCGGTGGCGACTGTATAAAACCCTTTACAAAAATCTCGCCTTTAGGTTCAGTCCGATTATTGGACAAAGTGGCGGATCTTGACCATTGATATTGGAGGGGCCAAATAATATATTATTAATAAATAATAAATAAATAAGGAAAAAAGAAGATGAAAGGGTAAAAGGATAAATTTGTAAATATATACTCAAATATATTAAATGATCATTAAGTTTGATTGGGACAAAATTATAAATTGTACGAGAGTTACAAAACTGAGGAGGGGTTAAGAAGATAAAATTGTAAATATACAAGCAAATATATTAAATGCTCATTAAGTTTGGGGGGCCAAAATCATAAGGGGGTCACGACCCCTCCAAGCTCCCAAGAAGATCATGTTTGAAATACATAATAATATAAGATACAATAAATATAATATATTCAAAAGATTGTGTACCTCGAATTGTTGAAGGATCCATAGAGCGTATATGAGAGAATATTGCTCTCTTCTCGATAGGTTACCTTGAACGTAGTGTGTAAAGTGGTTTTTATTGTTACACATAAAACTGACTAATGAGGTATCGCTTTTATCCACCTATCAAGAAAGACTAGTGATCTTTTAATAAGTAATTAATTCTGAATAATCCAACCCATCACGCTCATTAGAAACCCAAATTAAATTATTATTTATAAAAAATAATGATGTATAATATAATTAATAATTATAAATAATTAATTTATTGATTAATGTTAATCGGTAATAAATAGAGAATAATAATTATATATATATATATATATATATATATATAATAAATCATATAAATACAACCGATCTGACACTGTGGACAACCTAAAAGGTTGATTACATCATTTTACAAAAACACAAAGAGTTAATCAAAATCCTCACGCCTAGTACGGAGGTACAACGACGGCTGCCTCTTTCTTTCAACTGTGGCGACACTCTATTTTGTAACCATTTTTATTTTGGATAGCTTTCAACTTTATTATGTTAGCACTCCTTTGTTTCATTCTTTTTTTAGTAACAAGTTAAATTGGAAAAAAAAATATTAACAACATAACTTTGTACAATTTCTTGGGGTTGATGGCCATGGTGTGTGTCTGCAACTGCAATTCAATAGGCAAACGCAGCATCAGGTATGGCAGTCCATGATGACTGCAAGTTAAGGTTTTTGGAGCTCAAAGCGAAGAGGACACACCGTTTCATTGTTTTTAAGATTGAGGAGCAACAGAAGCAAGTCATTGTGGAGAAGCTTGGTGAGCAAGCCCAAGGATATGAAGATTTACTAGTAGCCTTCCTGCTGACGAGTGCCGCTATGCTGTTTATGGTTTTGAATATATGACTGAAGGGAATGTCCCCAAAAGCAGAATTTTTTCCATTGCGTGGTAATGTTTGCTTTTGGAATTTGTGAGAATTTTTTATATCTAGCCGAATCATTAAATTTTATTTATTTTCAATAATAGTTGATTTTATAACCATGCAAATTTATGTGTCTCTTACTTGAGACAAATCTAACGTGGTTTTGAATAAGTAACCTGAGTGGGTCAAAAGCAACTCTTGAAAAAACAAATGGACACCCAAAAAGTAAACCCAAAAGGGAACAAAATGTTTTGAGTCATATTTAATTAGATGTTGACAACAATGCAGCAACTACACTCTATTATAGATTTCTATCAATATGTTAATTTAATACTCATTTATTCTTCATAATTTAAAAAATATTGTAATTCTTATATTTAATAATATTTTCTTATATAGTATTTTTAGTTTTTTTAATCATTTTAATTAATTCATCAAAAGAATAATAGAATAAATTAAAAATATTATATATATATATATATATATATAATATTTTAACTGTAATAAGTAAAATGGATTTTTTAAATTATTGAGATAAACGAGTAAATAAACTTTTTCCTTGACTACAAGCTTAAATTATTTCGCACTTAAGTAATTAATTTATAAAAATATATATTATAGTATCTTTGTGTTATAGAGTTTTTAAATTTTTTAAAAATGATGCCATTTATTCTAATAAAACTTTTCTCAAACATGATATTATTTATCTTAGTTAGAAAAAATATATTTATAAATAATATCAGATTAAATCATATTTGAACATTAAATTTTCTTTTAATTAGCATTATATTTATTTATGATTTATAAACTTTTTCTCTATCACTACTTCTTAATGTTATGTCATCTAAATAAACCTATCCATCATACGTTGCATCATTACAATAAAAGTGAATACAATATGATTAAATTCATATGTCACGTTACTGTCATATAGTATTATAAAATATTAAGAAAACAAAATTCAACAAAAAAACTAAATATAGAACTGAAATTAAATTAAATTATATTTATATAAGAAAAAAAATCTAAACATTTTCATTTGTTTTTTTCATGAAAGTTTCATCTTTAAAAAAACAAAATGATAATGATTTAAGAATATTTTTTATTTACCAATTAAAAATATTACAACATATTATTTTATATTTACTAATTAATTCATCACATAATTCCAAATCCAATTATGCAGTATTAACTGATAGTAAAAAACAAACATGTGCTTTACTCATACTAAATGTTATCTGCATATAATTTTTTTTTTAAGCAACGAAGTTCTCTTTCCAAGATTTTAATCAAATTTTTATTAAGATTTAAATTTGAGATAACCAATCAAACTAAAACAACAGTACCTCAATTTATTCGTATGTTTGATATTTTTTATTTTTAGTTTTCTTTATATCACTAAGCTAGATAATTAAATGATTAATGTAAAATACTTGTGTACTATAAATAAATCAAGTTTCGTTGATATAATAGTTTATGATTACATCATAATGTGTGGTTCTAGATGTTGCATATAGCAGAAATCGAATACATAGAACACTGTTTTACGGGGTTGTGTAATGCAAAATTTGCAAATGGAAGAATAAAAAGAGAAAGGAAAAGGAAGAAGTGAAAAGGTGTTGAGGTGTTTGGAGGAAAAGGATTTTAGTTACACCAAACCAAAACGTGAGCCATGAAAGACTATTCCACACACAACTCCTCTTCCCTTCTCTTCTCTACCATCCGAATTTTCAACGACCTCGCTTTCTTCCTTTCCTTGCTACACTCATTCTTCCTTCTACCCTTTTTCTTTTCTCTCCGATTTCCTCTATCTCTTCATTTCACAATACTCTTTGTTTCCATAGCTGCATTCTCAGTTCCTTCACTCTCTTTTTCCTTTGCTTCCGTTCCCCTCGTAAGTGCCTTTCCCTCTCCCCTTTTTTCATATGTCATGCATTTTTTGTTCTATGTGTCTTTCTGTCTCCTGGGTTTTGTTTGTTTGACAAAAACAAATAAAATAAAGATCTCCCAATTGGAATTCCAGGCAAAAGTTTTGATTTTGGTATTTCCCCCCGTTAAAATTAGGCAAGAGAATCATTGAATGGGAACTGATGCAAAATGTGTTTTTTTTTTCTTATTCTTGATTTTTGTTATTAGACTCTTACCGTAACTATTATTTTAACAGTCTGTCACTTTCAATGAAGCTTCACTCTGTGGGTGAGAGAGACAATGGAAATAAAAAAGGTCATTGTTTGAATAATTTTGCCTGTTTTCATTTCCTTCTTTACCATGGACAAATGATTATGAATTTTTCTTTCTTCCTCTTTTCCTTGTTTTTGGGGGGCTTGATGCGAAGGGATGGCCTGGAGAAGCTTTTTAATCATTACCGTGAAAAGAAATTGGTATTTTTTGTTGGAGCGAAATGGTAGAATTTAACTGTGTAAATTGTCACAGAAATAGTCTAAGGTTGAATATGTGTAGCCTCCAATGAAGTATTGGATAAAGCCTAAATTTTAAATTACTGAATTTCTTTTCCTTTTTCAGTTGTTGTAAATTATTCGTGCTCGTATCATAATTTAGTTTATGTCGTTGTTTTCCTTGTATCGGTGTTATGGACCTTACTCATATTTTACAGCATGAAATCCTCTCAGGTGGGCATCAACATTTAAAATCTTATTTATGCTTGTCACAAAAATGAATAATTATCTGAAGAACTCTTAAAAAGGTTTACACTCATTTGTACAGGTTTGTAATTTCCCGTACACGTTTTCTGGGCATACAAAGGAAGCCAACACTGATACTGTTAAGATTTTCAGCCAAATGGCTACAAAATTTTAGGTATATAATCATGTTCAATTTTATCCCCCTTTGCAAATACATTTTACTTCAAATTGGTTATATTACTTGAATGCTTTTGTTTTATCTGCTAGCTAGAATTTGATAGAAATTTTTAGGATGTTTGTATACGTGTAATTTTGATATATGAAATATTTCTCATATATCTCTTTATTTATGTATATATAGAGTAAAATATAATAAAATAATAAATATTAACAATATCTCAATCATAATTATCTAAATCAAAATAATAAATCTTGTTTGTCATGTGATACAAGAATTTAAGTTTGTTGAATGAATACTGTTATTGTGGCATTAATAAGTATATGAATTGAGCCCTCTTCTGAAGAATCTTTTGTTTTATGTTTCCAATATAATAAAGTGGCTTTTTCTACCAGATTAAACACACATAGCGAGCATACCCGGAGAGATTGTGAGAACTTGAAAAGAGTTATTATTTGACTATACATCCATACATGGATTGCCAGGATTAATTTTAAATAGAACCTATCTTCATCATCCATGCATGTCTGATTGATCAGGTTGAGCTCCTTTCATGTTTCATGCTCTGAGTTGATACATGTGTGTTGATACTGCTTTCTTTTATACCAGTGATGTAATATTGCTAGTGTTGAGAATGGATATCCTAAACCAGGAGATAAGCATGCATAACCCTGAAGGTGAACTTAAAATAAGTTTTGGCTATCAATGCAATAGTGATAGAGGTATACCTTGCAATAAACTCAATAGAACAAGCAGTTTCTCTTGCTTGTCTGGTGCTGCCTTGAGTGCAAATGCTACACTTGCCAACACCAACATCTGCAATGGCGTAATAGGAGAAGAAATCCTTCCGAGTTTGGACTCTCCTAGATCATTCCGTACGGTACCCTCTTCGTCAAGTTTTCCAAAGTTGGACATGTTATCATCTTCTGTCCATAGTAGTTGTTCAAATCTAAGTTGCAGCCCATCCACTCCAAGTAACATGCTTGAATATGACCCTTGTACATTAAAATCCACGAGTTCTCCTTCCAGAAGTGAAGGTTTTCTTAATGCCATGGATGTTCAAGTTGCTGGAGGAGCAGCTGGTGAAGATAGGGTTCAAGCAGTTTGTTCTGAAGAAAATGGGTGGCTCTTCTGTGCAATTTATGATGGCTTCAACGGGAGAGATGCAGCTGACTTTTTGGCTGGTACCCTTTATGACACCATTGTATCTTATTTTAATATGTTACACTGCAATTTGGAACCAGATTCCATAAAAGCTTCCAACCATGCTGCTATGGGTGAATCCTTTCCATATAATTTGGATGATAGTCTTATTATCCAGGAGCATCAGTCTCCTTCAAAATTGAAGAGAAACAATTCTAGTCTTGACTGTTTTGCAAGCAGTACTCCACCTTCCAAGTCAGAAACATCTCCTAAACCATTTTCACATAGTACAGTACTTGATGGTCTTCAGCATGTTCTTAGTCAGGTTGAGAATGATTTCTTATGCATGGTTGAGCAGGAAATGGAGGAACGTCCAGATTTAGTTTCTATTGGATCTTGTGTTTTACTTGTGCTTCTTCATGGCAATGATTTATATACACTTAATCTTGGAGACAGCAGAGCAGTATTGGCAACGTGCTGTACAGATAACAGAATGAATGAGAATGAGAGTGAGAGATTGAAGGCTATCCAGCTTACTGATAGTCATACTGTTGATAATGAAGCCGAAAGAGCTCGCGTTCTTGCTGATCATCCTGATGATCCGAAAACCATAGTAGCAGGGAAAGTGAAGGGAAAACTGAAGGTTACTCGAGCTTTAGGAGCAGGGTACTTGAAAAAGGTTTGCATTCTTTTCAAATTTTAGCCAATAAGGTTTCAAAAGATTTTGAGCTGTGATATGCTTTAGTAAATAAACTCCACACATAGGTTTTTTATTATAAAGATGTAATAACTCTACTGATATCCGAGCTACAAATGATTAGTGGATGGAGTTTATTGCATTATTGACTTTGCTGGTTTATGAACACCAATTGTTGTAAGAGGACTTAATTTTCCCATTTTACTTTCCAACAGGAAATTCTGAATGATGCATTAATGGGAATCCTTCGTGTTCATGATCTCACAAGCCCGCCATATATTTCAACTGATCCATCATTGAATGTGCACAAAATCTCAGATTCAGACCAATTTGTTATAGTTGGGAGTGATGGTTTATTTGATTTCTTCAGTAATGATGAAGCAGTACAGCTTGTAGAGTCTTATATCTTGAGAAATCCATTTGGTGATCCAGCAAAATTTCTTATCGAGCAATTAGTTGCAAGAGCAGCTGATTCTGCAGGTATTTTTTCAAGATCTCATGCTAAATGTAATTTTCATTGCATGAATATGAATTCATGTTGTTTTATGGTTAATTGCTAAGAAAGATTGTCTTGCAGGCTTCAGCATGGAAGAGTTGATGAATGTTCCTGATGGGAGGAGAAGGAAGTACCATGATGACGTGACCGTAATTGTGATCATCCTTGGCATGAATCAGCGGACTTCAAAAGCATCAATTTGCACCTAGAGACTGGCAGAAGAAAAATTACATCGGAAACATTGGTCAAGTGGTATTTCTTAGGAAGTTTTGATGTTCAAAATGTATATTAGACCTATAGAACTTAGAATCATTGGTTCCTTTGGTACTTCCAAATTTTGCATTAGTTTTTCTCTGCGTCTGAAACATGAATTTTGGAAATGGTTTCCTTGTATACAAATATCAATGAAAAATAGTTTTTGTTTTTTTAAAATATAGATAAAATGCTTTATATTTTGATTGAAGTTATAAACAAACTACATTAATATAGATATCAACAGATTTAAATATAGACTAAGATCTTTACTTCGTATACTTTTCTTAATATTTGATTTACTTTATATTTGAATTAAGAAGCATGCATGCTTGAAATATATGAAAAGATGTAACAGAATTTAAATATAAGCATGCATATAAAAATAAAAGTGCTTCACTTTTTGTCTTTCGGGACTTTCCTGGGCTTAAAATCTTTAGTGTCTTGGTTTCCTGACAGTCATTAAAGTGATATGGAAGAGAAAAATAATGTTTGTATTCTCAATAAAACTGTAATAAAACGAATTTCAATACATTTTCAACACAAACAACAAAAATAAATGTTTTTTTAAAAGTATATAAATCAAAGACAACATACACAGTGAATATTATCCTTAACTAAATGAAACGTGCAAAGGGCAGAAAATTGTGGTCTAGCATCTCTTAATTATACAGCTATCAATAACTTATTTCTACGAAGAATATTTTTGTATAAAAATGAAAAGTTGGAAGTTTAAATAGTAATGAGAGGTGCCAATAGCAATGCCCTTCTCACTGATATGTTAACTTAGGTCAGAACAGAAAGTGTTTTTAGTGAATTTCAACTTTTGCTCCTCAAATTAAGTCTGCCAACACCACCATGGCCTAGCCACCAACTTGTGTCCTCGTAATTGGAGTAAATGGCACTTATCATGTTCAAATAATAAACTATTTCAATATCCAAATTTTGACATGATATATAATACTGTGTATAATTGTTTTATCTTTTTTCATATACATATCAAAATTATATTCTAAAATCAAACGACATAACTTTTTGTGGTCCTGCATGCTTTGATCTCCACACAACATCCTTATCTTTCAAAATTATTCTTCCAAGGAAGAATTTGTTCAGTAACATTTTGATAGTCTGCATACACATTTCTTATTTTTAGTAATATAGTTTTTTATAATCTCTGCATATTGAATAATTTATAATAAATATCCGTAATCTAAGGTTGTATTCTTGTAAGATTGAGTAAGAATCTCCTCTAACTCCTTCATAAATATTCAACACAAAAAAAATGTGTTTATATTGTATATTTTCTTCCTCAGAAAGTGTGCTACAAATTAGACTCTCCACTGGGCTTAGGACTACAACAGGAAACAAAGATTCTTCTTCCAAGTTGCACAACTTGAACCAGTTTCCAAATTCTACCAACCTGACATAAGAGTCCCCCACCATTCCTTTTCAGGTTTTCCATTCTCTTTAGTGTATTCAAAATGCACAACCCACTGAACCATCAAGAGAAAATGTCAACCTCTAATTTATTCCATTCATAATCCACATATTGCTTCTTTCCTGCTTCAACTATGCAGAAACAGCTTTCCTAAAAAAATGTGCTTTGGATATGACAACTTTTTAAGCCTGGATTATCTTTGGCCTTATCCTTTTGCTGATGATCATAGACTTTGATAGAAGATCCCTATTCCTCATAATGCAGTCATACTTTGAAGAGAATATGGTCCCGTTAACAATGATTATGATGAAAATGCACATTTTGTCGTTACCATTAGAGAGTTTTCATCTACATAACATATATGACTGCAAAGGGTCCACTTTAGGCCATGATTTACATTTTGGTTCTTAAACAAAGCTTAAAACTAAATATAGGAAATGTCACCAAAACGCTTTGTTAGTTTTCAAACTCTTTTCACATTTTCTCTTACCGATACTAGTATAAAAACCATCTAGTTTTTCAAATATTATATATATAATTCTCAGCATAATAATAATAATAATAATAATAATAATTTTGATCATAATAATAATATCCACAGTGCAACATTGTCTGCACTTTCCAGTCTCACATAACAGAACAACCGTTAACATTTTCATCACTGAAGATCTCGAAGAAAACAGACGGTGCCGATTGAAATTGATTACAGTCTTGGATTAGACCAGCACACGTGTAGGGTGAAGATGGAACGTAGTACGAAGGATAAAATCTGTTATAAGCTGCAACGTAAACCATAAGGGGGTAACCACTTTCTGAATACAAAAACGATTGCTGACGTGTAGGGCTCATATTCACTGGGCCCATGAGATCCTGAAACTGCAATCCACTGTGTGCAGGTGCACCACTAAATGCTGCTGCTGCTGCTGAACTCAAACCACTGTTTCTGTTGCCACCACCACTCTGCAATTTCTTTTTCTTCTTCTTAGCAGAAGAACTACCACCTTCGCTCCGACCACCCTCGCTCCGACCACCCTCGGACGAAACCTGCTCACCGGAGGAGGCCTTTTCCGGCAAGTTGTTGCTGCTGCTCTTGTTCTCACTGGTACACTTGGCGGAAGCATTTTCAGTTCCCTTGTGTTTTTCCAAGCTCTGTAGTTCTCTTGCTTCATTCCCCTTCTTTTTCTTTTGCCCATTGCCAGAGATTTTTCCCTCGCCGTCGAGATTCTCCGGCCAAATCTCGGCGTGTTTTCCGGCTCTGACCAGCTTCTTGAGAAGGGTCTCAACAGCAACGTTTCCAGTGACTGTTACTTTGTGTTGGTGTGGGTCTATTGTTGCAGTGAAAACACCTGCAAAGTGCAACATTCACTCTTAGAATTGAATTTGAATCTAATTTAGTTCACAATGCTACAGTTATATTAGACTAGTTAGCTTATATGCACTCTTTTGTCCCTTTCTGGGATCTGTAACATTTTCTTGTTTCCTGGTTCAGAATGTTAAGTGAGGGGGAGCAATAACAGTGTAATACTCTTGCATGGGAAAAGAAAAATGCTCTCTGTAGAATAAAGAAAAGTGTACGGAAAAAGAGTTGAAATATATGAAATTTGAAGCTGGATTTCTGTTCTATTTTTCTAGCATATATTTGTAGAGTACTACTACTTTCATACTTTATGTTCAAAGAAGTTTGATATATTACCGTCAATGTTCTTCAGAACTTTCTTTACTTTCCTCCTGCAACCTTCACAGTGGATGGAAACTTTCAAGAACCATGTCTAGGAGAACAGCAGAGAGTTATACAATTAGTTTTAGTGGATTAAGGAAGAAAAATTTGAAGAGGCAAAATCGAAGAACACAAAATGAGATTACACATATGCATTAATTATTGTGAATTTAAATTGAGGTAATAAAATGGTAGTAGTACCTGATAGTTCAAAGGTTGTGAAGCAAGTTGAGGAGGTTTTGCATCCATTGAGAGAGGGAAGTGGAACTAATGGTTGAAACTTGAATTGAAGGATTGAAGAGTTTGAAGAAGAGAAAGAAGAAGTGAGTGTGGGGAAAAAGAAAAAAGGGAAAACGCCAAGAATGTACTTGGGGGTGTGCACTCTGTTGGGGAGCAAAGTGTGCAGGCAAAGATGGATGGCTATCAAAGTATAATGTGACAATGACAGATGGCACATTGCTCCTACTGCATTATTTTGCAATAGAGCATGATTCTCCTTCCTTCCTTGATGCATTTTTTATTTAATGTTTCATTGTGGTTGCTGTGGTAGTGCTCAACTTTAAAAGAAGAGTAGGATACTGTGAAAAATATTGAACCTTACTTTATTTTTATAGGCACTCGTGTACTGTGATAATTAAATTCACTGTTTCTTTTTCTATGCTTCCATTGTTTTCTTGTCTCTTGTAGATGTTTTAGCCTTTTGTTATGCTTATAGACAAGATTCTTTTTCACAACTTTGTTAACATCATACATCAATTGACATTTCTATCATATTTTTCGTGGGTAATAGTTCACCATCTTTTAAGATTTTATAATTTACAGCTTAGATTGTTCTTAGCCATTGGCCCAGTTTGGATTAGGACTAAGTTATCTTCACAGTATGCCTTGAGAACGCATGGGAACAAAATTTCAGGTCCTTGAGTGTTGTTTATAACCCATTTTCTTCTGCTTTTTATAAAGAAAAAAAAGTCATCTATAAACAAAATACTCATTTTTTATGCAGATAAAAATCACACCATATTTTGGTGTCACTGAACTATTTTAATGTCACCATAGTTTGGAATTTGGGGGATTCTTCTATTCTAGGAGGCAACAAAGAACCAATGAATAATGTCAACTAGGAACAAGAGCCAAAACTTCGGATAAGGAGGAAGTGTAGAATATGCCCTAAACAACAATTAAAGAGAAAAAAAGGGGGCATTCATTGCTCCTAGTTTGAACAAAAATAAATTCATTCCATTCCACCCAATTTACTTCCAAGGAAAGTAAAAGACTAGTCTGTTCTCAAGTAATCCATGAAGGAAGTGAATGCAGCAAGATCTAGGGTGGAAAATGTCCAATCTGGACTCAATCTTTTCTGGCCACTGCAAGATGACCAAACTTAACATAACCCCTTGAACATTGGTTACAGTGTTCTTTCATCTCCAGTGTCTACATGCCACATCAAAATCTTCTCACGAGGAAAATCAGCATGTCATGTATTTTCACCTGAGAATGGCATTGAAAGTCAACTCTTAAGCAATGCGTCATGATTTAGGTAACAGTTGATATACTAGCTGATATTATTGATTTGCCATATGAAAACAAAAACTCTACATATATATGGTTTTATATTTAAAGTTTTAAACTGAAATATTTGTGATAAATGTTTGTCTTAGTAGATATTGTTATATAGATTGTTTTAGTACTTCATGAATTAGATGTTGATTTGGAGAGAGTGAAAAAAAAGATGGATTTGAGAAAAAAGAAATGAAAATAAGATTGCTTAGATTAAGGAAAGATGATAAGAAAAATAGAGAAATGAAAAGAAAATTTATGAATGAATTGATTGATATGAATATTAAATAAATATTTTAATAAAAGAAATTTAAAAATGATCAAAGTATTTTTTTAAATTATCATTACTATTACTATTATTATGTATATATTTATTATTATAAAAATAATAATTATTATTATTATTAATAATAATAATAGATGTGAGAATCAATTTTCTTTCAATAACCAGGAATTAAGAATTGATTCTTCATTCAAGAGTAACATTGAGAATTGATTTTTGGTTCTAAAAAATAAAAATATATGTATAAATATACAAAAGATGAGTTATCTTTCTCGTATCATCCCCTCAGTCCAAGAATTCTCTCTCTACTCTCACTCAAATTCGCACTCTCGAATGCAGTCGTGTTAACCGAAACAAACACAAAACCCACTTATTCTTTCATCACATAGCCAGGAAATAAGTGAACAAACCAATTTAAGGCTTTTCAACCGTTCAACAAGCAGGATTGAACGCATTCTTAAAAACATTATGTATCAAGACCTTAAAAATACAATAATAGTTCTGTTACATCTTTTGACATGTTCTTGTATTCGAAGAAACTTATGTTTTGAAACGTTAAATTTATATTATTGTGTTAAAATAAGGCAGCAAAAATACAACTTCTAAACTTCATCATAAACATTTTACTTAGTATATACTAGAAATATTACTTCAAAAATCTGGTTAGGTAATACAATTACAGCGTAATTTTACCATATGGTGAAAATTGGAAGAAGGATTAGGACAAGACAAGCAATAATTTATTTTCTATAAAAAACTGCACTTTTTTTTCCCAAGCATGAGGTAAGCTTGTCAAGTCGTTATAATAGAAACATTCAAACATGGTCCGTAAACTCAATAAATTCCCATCAAGAGAGACCTTATAGAGCATTTTTTTAAGCTGGTATATTAAAAATATAAAAATAAATATAGTATTAACATCACGATTGTTATGTGTTAAGAATATAAATAATTTTTTATTAATTATAATTGAGACTACCCTTCTAAACGAGGATGGTTTATACAATAAATAAAATGATTGTTTAACTATACTTTCCATAAAATCAAGTAATTAAAATCAATGGACTTGTTTTGTTAGAAATTCGATATACATTTTGGTATTAGACTATGGAAAATGATAAGAATCCCATTAAGTAAAATTATCATCAACAAAAGAAAACATAAATTGAAATCATTTTGCATTAATTGTTTTACATTCATTAATTTAAAGATAGAAAACGCTAATTTAAAAAAATCAAAATGAACGAGACCCGAGACAATAATTAAAATAACTGAAACGAATCGAACACATCTTTCCTATACATAAGCTAAAAAGCTAAGGTGCGTGGATTGATTCTAATTTATGAAAATTTTTTCAATACCTGTATTTTACCATTTTATTTTCCACACTTCCTAACTCAATTAGAAGTAAACGAAGCATATCACAATTTGTACAAGTAAACATCGATCAGTCACAATGAGGGGTAAGGGAAAATTTACCATTGATTATAGTTCTTAATTATTATACCCAATATTAGTAATCAAACACATCAAATATCTACCAATAATACATAGTCATTGAGCTTCTCTGGGGTTTACACTGCGAGTAGCAGATACTCCAAATTAAAGGCCGTTTAATTTTCAGCTACTTTGCTGCTATTATCTTCTCCAGCTACTACCTCCTGATCTTCCTTGTCAATTTCTTCAATCTTTGTCTCCTGTGACGGAGCATGCTTGACATCTGAGGCATCCTGAAGCTGCAATCAATCATTGATGTTGGTGCATTTAGTGACATATATTACGTAATCTGAGAAGAAACTTTCAAGAAAAAAAAAAAACAGTAAGTTGTAGAGTGAAATGATTCTCCCAAAGACTTACCCCCAAGTTTCTAAGGCTAGTAGTAACATCCTCTTGTTGCTGCTGAAGGGTAGTCCTCAAATCTTGAAATTCCTAATTTTGATTTCATAAACAAATTTTCACACAACAAAACTAATTTGACAGGAAGAAAAAATCTAGAAGCGCACTTACTAATCGAAGTTGGTCCACTTCAACATTGAGTGTTTTCTTAAGTTCTGACAGCTCCTGCATGAACAAATGAAAATGCATCAGAAGTTGCAAAACAACAAATTTACCACATGCATATAAAATTAGAGTGAAGCTTAAGCAATATCCAAACCAGTTATAATATAGGAAAGTTCGGCTATCTACCAATATAACCAGAAAAACAAGAAATGACACGAGCAAACCTATTGTCCATTAAATATATTGTCATGACCATATAACAAATGGCATATGGACCATATCTGAACTACGCAAAATAATCATAAATATAAGCCATGGACCATGAAAAATCCTTTCATTTACAGTCAGCAACTATATGGCGTGTATAAGCACATCTACCAGCGTAATAAAAAATCATAAAGATTTCTTGCTGGTCCTTAACTCAGAAGGTTAAAATCCAATAAGGACCAAATTGAAAATACTACGAAATGTAAGGACCATATTGAAAATACTACGAACTGTAAAGACCAAATTGAAAATTACTTCTATGTATAAGGACTGAAAATAATTTAGGCTTAGGAACTAATCCAACCTCGTAAGATGTCTTATTAAGACTATAATAACCTTATCTCTATTGGATATTAGGTCTAAATCCCCCCTCCCCCTCAAACATAGGATTGGACGTTTAGGGCATGAACAAATATGGGTGACTAATACACTCCCTGCACACCTAGGAATAGAGTTAAACATCTAGAGTGTAGACAAATACAAGTGATCCAATAAATCTACTATTGACTTAAAATTTGGACTCAGGTCAAGCGCATTTGCAATTTGATGTCTTCATTTTATAAATCTCGAGTTTAGTAGACAGTTATAACACTAATATATAGACAACTACGGAATTGAAAATATAAAATAATTGTGCAAATAAAGACTAAGCTGAATACCTTTTTTTCAGAAGACCAGATTGAAAACAAGGGCCATATTCATGTATATGGAACAAAATATATTTTAACCAAGAAAGAAACTATGCATTACATTTAAACACGAGCATCAATAAATTAGAAAAAGACTGGTGTAAATAGAACCCCATTTTTTCCTCAGGTTTTACATAAACAATAAAGAGAATTCCAGATCAAATTTCTAGCAAAAATATTTTTCTAAGCAAAAATTCCTTGGGTGGATATATTTTATATCTCTAGTATGTGTCCAGTTCTGTGTAACACTGAATCGGATAGGATAAAGCATCCTGTGTAGCCTCAAGAAAATTATCAGTGCAAACATTTTAGTAAACTTAGTTGTATAACCCTATATGTCCCTATACAACCTAGAGTGGGATAGGCTGGTAACGATAAACTAGACACATTCTTATTTTACCTCAGCTGACTACTACCCTCTTTCACTTTGGATTTCAGTTTAGGATAGCAATTTTTTTAGTTCATGTCTATTTGTGCCACAAATTATTTAAACAGCAATGGATAGTATTATAGAGTTTATTAACCACCTTATTCAATATCCTACAATCAACAATGTCAAAAAAGTACTTCTCCCTGTGTTTATCAAGGACATGACACAAGATACATGAAACGGTGCATGACCAGACATATAGATATGGGGATATGACATGAGATACGCATTGCATAATTATCAACCTCAGACAGTGACACCAAATATCTAACCCAGAAAAAACTATAGGAATAGTGGGATGACCGCCATTATATAATACAACCTAAAAATTTTACACAACAAAAACACTAAGAAAAAAAATTGAAGGCCCCAAAAAAGGTCACATTTACGCACACAATCACCATCAATCTCCAAGCAATAAGAATATAGTAATAGAGTCAAAAAATGGAAGATGATGGTCCAATGAATAGAATAGGAAGAGAGGTATACTACAAAGTATGAAATAATTGAAGTCAAAACAAAGGTGATTGAGTTTCAATTCTGGAGATTGGGTGTTTCCAAATTCCCAAAACTACAGTTGTTGAAACATAAAAAGTTCCTGGTTCTTTTGTAGCCGTTCTCCATCACAAAGGAAGCCTTGCATTTTGGGACATGAAAGGGTCAGGGACTTAGCCTTTTTCTTGGAACAAACATAGCTTTCAAAAAAAATAGAAGTGAAGTGTACGAAATTGGAATTTATTACATAAGAGCATACAAAGGAATAGAAAAGGCAGAGAATTTGAGGAGACAAAGAATGAAACAAAAAAAGGAAGATTAAGAGAGCCACATAACATGACTTGTAATGTTTAAGCTTGCAATGAAATAAGGAAATTGAGTGGAAAATCTTGCTAAAATGAAAAACAAATCCAATGTAGTTTAGAATGATCAGTTTGTAACCAATGTAAAATATAATACAGATTATCTGAACCATATATCACCTCTTTTCAGCAACATGCAAGGATGCATCATACCACCTCCATATCTGGACAGCATTGGTTCACCACATTTCATTTTATCTTTGACATAGGAAAAACAGTCTTCCCAGAAGATCTTTTTTTAGGATGAGATATATAAAGGGGAATTAATTGTCATAATCAGTCACATTACTTGTTACACTGGACAATCCACAGTGAACATAATGATAAAAGATGAATAGGTATTACAGTACCACCATGTATCATAAAAGCAAACTTCTGGAAGTTTAATCCTAGTCATCTCAGAATCCTCATTAAAATTCAGGAATTATGTGCCTAGAGCAACGTTGCAGAGTTAATGTTGGTAACCAAGTAGCAGCCCTTCATTCAGACTCAAGTGAACCACCAGGGGCTAAAATGGAAATGTTGTTTCCCAAGAGATCTTAGCAGTTCTAACATCGACAAAAATCAAATACGAACTTTTTCAATGTTAAGAAGATCAGGATAATGGAGACGAAAGCTGCAAATTACAGACCCAAAGCTTTCCTTTCTGATACACAATAGATTTGGCACAAGAAATGCCTAATGAAGTCAATTATAATATTAAAACCACACGTTTATGTTATTGTTAGGAGAAAACCAATTAGTACGTCACAGTTGTGCCATTTCCCAGGTCAGCACAGGGTCACACATACAACTTTACAAGACAGAGCCAGTATAAAAATATAATCACACATCAACACATGAGTTCAAACACACAATGGCAAACACACTCACCTAATAATTGTCCTTAAAAGCACAAAATTAATTACGCAAAAATAAGTTTGCATATCATAGACTATTTTATGTGGCCCTTTAACGGTACTTTATTTATCAGAGTATAAGTCCTGACCAAAGAAACAAATAGCAAAGAGAACATTACCCGAAAAATATGAACAAATTACTGGTTTTCTCCTAGACAAACTAACATAATTGCCTCCAGTGCAATTATAAAAATGGAAAAGTACTGTTATATTAGTTGTAAGGCTAATATGGAGAAAGGCAAGCCGGATGGTTAAATATGGAGAAAGGCATCAAGAGTTGTTCATGAACGAAAAGTATTTAATAAACTCAGACAAGTTTTAACGTGCTGCTATATTTCGAACTATTCTATGGATTGGTTTAGACAAACTTCTTCATAAACACTTTTAGAAGAGAAAAATAAGAAAAAATGAAATGAGTTTCTCCATAAGTTGAAATGAGTTTTCTTCTATTTCTTTCCTAAAAATGCTTATGGAGAAGCTTGCCTAAACATACCCTACATGATAGTGAATGCTAGACTTTAAATGAATAGCATGAGAGAAAGGTGGGGTGGATAAAATGTGATTGTTAAGATGAACGTGTGTAACCCCACAAAAAAGGACAAGATACATAATGATTATATGCATACCAAGAAAATCAGCAAGGTTGGGACATCAGTTGATTGAGTAAACAATGACAGAAGATTGGATAAGATAATTTGGACACATACAGAAAATACCATAATAGACACACGAACGAAAAGAGTAGCTTTAGGTGCCACTAAATAGAGTACATTGCATGACTTTTAGTCCTGTTAAAGAAATAAGGAAACCAAGAAGGACTTTGGAGGAATTTCTAAAGGGAGACCTCGAGACAAATATACTCTGGAAGCCTTAGTTCTAAACTGTGTTGAACGTCGTCATGTTTTATTTAGTCATCCATCTAGTGAGATACAATATAAACCCAACATGTCATCTTGAAAGTACAAGAAAAATCATGATTTAAATTTTGGCCGCAATGTAAAGGTGTTTTTACTCTCCACAACCACAATTTCCCACAATGTCAAAGATCAAGACAAAACCGCAATCACAATTTAAAACTATTCCCGAATTCCAGATAGGCAAAATAAGTATGTTCAGGGAGAGAAAAACAATCTAAGAGTTTAATATATATATATAAAAAAAAAAAGTAGAAGATTAAGCTTTTGATAAATTATCAAATTTTTTAAAATAATAAATTAAAACATAAATTTTCTATGCCGAAAGAATCTATCATTTAATTTATTTTATTTTATTTTAAGAAAAACAAACTAAACAAAATACATCAAAACATACAAAGAACTCTGTCGAACTAGTGATAGGAAGCACAGGAATCTTTTTCAGACAACACTCAAAAGCAAAATGCCGTGTTTGGCAGACAAAGATCAATCATCATCACTTACATCACGATAGACCTTGACTTGTGTATCTAACTTAGACCTCCAACTTTGCAAATCCTACAAATAGACATAAGGAATAAAAAAAAATGAGTAGCAGTGAGCTAGCAGGTGGAATAGTGAACCAGAATCTTCATAGCTAACAAACAACAGCAGTAACAAGAAAAAGAAAAAAGTGTCGCACCTGTTTCAAACTCTGAATTCTTCCAAGAAGCTCCGATCTCGATTCATTAAGTTCCTGTGAACAATCCCAAGAAAATTTAGATGTGGGTGGGAAAGTTCCATTTTAAGAATAAAAATAAAATGTCAAAAAAAAAGCATACAGCAATTTTAGAGGTAATGGGAGTGATGTTCTCCTTCTTCTGAAACAAAACAAAAGAGAGGGATGGTTAGTACGGATTTTGAGGATTGTGATGAAACGTTGGATTTGAGAAATGATGAAAGAGAAGAAAACATACCGCGGAGAGAGGAAGGGAAGAATCTGAGTCGGCCATTGAGGATGAGATCGGAGATTTGGGAGAGAGGATTTGGTTTGTTTGTTGTTCTAGGGTTTGATTCGGTGTATGAATTTGAAACGGAGCCTGGTTTGGTGAGTCTTGGGGGTAGTACATGACTCTAGAAACACCAACGTTAAAATCACCAAAACAGACAACAAACGAGCTTAAATTTTGAAAAAAAAGGATAAAGGGATCCGATTGGGCGGGATTTGGAAATTTCTCAGTAAGTTGCAAGCTTCTATTTATACCTCCAACTTTATATATATATTTACTCACCTTACAATAAAGATAAAAAAAGAGATTTGCTTTTGATATTATTTTTTATAATAATTTATTTTATTTAATTAGATATAAAAAATAAAATAAATGGATATTTATATATATCATGAAATAATAATAATTATAATAAAGATTTGTATTTAATGTAATTAAAATATTTATTAAATTTGAATACTTTATTAATTATTTTATTAAATTTTTAATTATTAATTATATGTCACTGAATTATTAAGATACATGTTTATGGATTTAAATGTTATTAAGTAAGATGTCTAGAAAGAATCAATCTATGTATTGTTTAAAATTTAGAAAAACTTATATACATTTATGACTTTTTAAAATCAAAATTTCTTGATAACTAAAATATATAAATTAATATAGATATCACTTAATATAGATATCGATCTATATGATATAAAATTAATTATTTTTAATAATTATTATTAAAAATTAAATAAAATCATTGATATTACATAAAAATTAGATAAAATATTTTAATTATATTAACAATAAATATTTATTATAATTATTTTATAAAAAACACATTTTTATCCTCTTTCTTCTAATATATTAATAAATAAATTATCTATAAAACTATGTCTACACACGATTTTGAGTGATTTTAGGGAAAAGTAAATGATTTAATTATTTTAAAAAAATATTAAATTTAGAATAATGTTAAACATACTGAGACATCTTCATTAGACTTATTTGATGAGATACTAAAATAAATTATTAATTATTTCAAATATTTTTTTATAGTAATTTTGTTAGATAATTTATAAAATAAAATAATAAGTTCTTTAAAATTTTATTAATCAAATTTACATAAAAAAATAATGATTAATTGTTTTAAATTGAAGTTACGTAACAATTTTATATTCTAAATTTTGTAATATAAGAAATAATTTGTATGAGCTAAAAAATATTTTAATAATTAAATGAAGTTGGAAAAATACATTTATTTAAAAGCAAAGTTATATAAATCAAATTAGAATAAAACAAATTTTATAAAACATTAAACTAAATGAAAATATATTTTGCATATTAATATATTGTCATTGCATGTAGATGTTAAGTTAGTAATTAACTTATTTATTAATTTTTTTCTATTCTTATATTTGAACTAATCAAATTTATGACTAATGACGAACAACTTTCCTAACACTCTTTCTCTTCAATTTTAATATATCACATAGTATAAATAAAGGGTGTATTTATATTCATGTTGGTTTTTCTGTTCAATGTGAAATTAATGTTTTTTTTTTTTGCAGTCTTTTAAATTTTGGGAAACACTTCAGAAAATACCAAACAAAAAAAGCAATAAATTCACAAGTACATGCTAACACATCAAAACTTTCCCTTAGCATAGTAAAAAAAAAAAAAAAGAAAACTTATTAAATTTACTGAATTTTCTTACTTATATATCCAAAAGTCAGTATATACACCAAAATTTCATCATTTTCTAATCAACCATTGTCCTAAACTTTTCACAAGAATTTTAAGTAATTTCGAAAAATTTCTCAAAAAAAAAAAACAACCTTTTTATTATTTTAAATATTGCTTCAGACTTAAAATGTAAGTTTTCAGTATTTTAGATATTTTTATTAATTTATTTCTAGTTAATGTTTTTTAACATGCACAAAATATTATTGAAAATAAAAAACTAAATAATACTTGCATTATTCATTCAACTATGTTTATGTTTATCATATAATTTAAAAATTTTATAAAAAGGAAATAAATATCCAATTTAATTATATAAAATCTATTTATTTTTTATTTGAATTATATATTATTAAATAGTTATATCTACTCGTGTTTTAACCATTTCTACCTAAATTTATAAAAGAAAAAATAGTTTAAAAATGATTATGTGAAAGACACGAATAAAAATTAGAATGAATATATAAAATTAATGAATGTAATTTATACAACATGCAAGGACGTTGATAAAAGAAGGCGATGGTGACCTAATAAATTTACATATAAAAAATATACATAGTTTAAAGAAAAAATTCTTATTGTATGTTTTTTTGAATATATTTTAAGTTATTCTATAATTGTTTAAAAACCTATGATAAAAAAAACACGTAGTTTAATTTTAAATAAATATTACGCAACGAGAGAGGCTTAAATTAAAAAAATAAAAAATAAATTGATGAGTGATGGGAAAGTGTGATACAATATCTGTCTTCTTGAGAACTACTTTTACTTTAATTAAAAGTAAAGCAAGGAAGATGATGTATATATATATATATATATATATATATATAAAAGCATGCATTGAGCTAATAATTAGGAAAGTTTGTGCGGTACTATAACATATACAGTTCATAACATTTTAATAATCATAATTTCCACTACAGTTGAATTCATTTATTTAACCCTAAAATGAAACTACTAAAACACAATTAACATTAAATTAAAATTGCGCCGAAAGAGAAAATAAAAAATAAAAAAAAATTGTGGTGTAGTCATGACGCATGATTGATAGTCAATTCGAATATTGCAGGTCAACAAAATGAAATGGATAAACCACAATGGTTTCATTTTTTTCATTTTTGTTGATTATTATGAATTGAACAATTTTATTCCAGATAAAATATTAATAAACGATTTAGATTTATTTACATTTATTTGATTTGTAAGGAATCTTAATAAGGGAAATTTGTTTACCTTCTTATTAAATTTGTGATTCCTTAATTTATGAAAAAAAGAAAGGTAAATTCTTCCTTAATGACAAAGTAAAATAATCATAAATAATGATAATAATAATAATAATAATAATGTGGGCTTGAAATTCTTAACAATAGATGCAGAGGAAGAAGCAGAGGAAGCTCGGAGTTGTGTTTCTCTGAGTTCCGAGTGGACTCAGTTGCGGAGCAATGAGTCAGGAATCGTTTATATATAGTTTCGTGGCTCGTGGGACGATGGTGTTAGCTGAGTACACTGAGTTCACCGGAAATTTTCCTGCCATTGCAGCTCAATGTCTTCACAAGCTTCCCTCTTCCAATAACAAGTTCACTTACAACTGTGACCACCACACCTTCAATTTTCTGGTTGAGGATGGTTATGGTAATGCCTCAGTGACTTGATCCTATGTTTCTATCAAATCATATGTTTTGTGTGGACCAAAGAGGAAAGTGAATTTTGAATTGCTGGTTTTAAGGTGTTGGATCTAGTCTTGAAATGAATGTCACTGCAGGGGTTGAGGGAGCATAAAGCTTTCGTTTTTTGGGTTTTATTTCCCTTTTGAGTTAATTTTCCTGGTGGGTTTTGGTTGCTTTTCCATGGGTTCTTCCCTAATGAAATGGAATCAACTAATGAACGGTGAGGAACAGAATTGGGTTAAGTTCAATTTAAGGTTTTTTAATATGCTTCAAGTGTTTGATTTTTTTTCTTTTGGTGAATGGTGTCACTCACTTAAAAGCATTAATTGTACATTCATAATATTCAGGATGACTTGATTTTCATTGTCATCTTTAATGGAATATCCAATCATTTTTACTATCTGTTAGAGGTAGTGATGCAACACAAAGTCGCCTAATTTTGTGAATATAACGTTGTGTGGTGTTCCTTGAGTTTTGGGCGACTGAAGACTACGCAAGTTTTAATTCCCACAATGCCTAATTTTGTTTGTATAGGTAGATAACCAACAATGCAACCTCTAGATGGAATGCATGTGTGTGTTTGTTTGAAATCTGGTGGTTCGACCAGTCTCTGAGATTAAACACTGAGTTGCAGTGGAATAAGCATTTTAAAGCTTTACATAAGTGCTTTCTGTAAATTGCAGCATATTGTGTTGTTGCAAAGGAATCTGTTGGCAAGCAGATCTCTATTGCTTTCCTTGAACGGGTCAAAGCAGACTTTAAGAAAAGATATGGTGGTGGAAAAGCAGATACAGCTATTGCTAAGGGTCTGAACAAGGAGTTTGGGTACACTCATTTCTGTTCTAAAAATTTGATGATGTTCAGGATATTGTGCAGAAAGTTAGATAATGGATGCATATTTGCAGACCAGTTATGAAAGAGCACATGAAGTATATCATCGATCATGCTAATGATATTGAAAAGCTAATAAAAGTGAAAGCTCAAGTTTCAGAAGTTAAGAGTATCATGTTAGAAAATATAGACAAGGTATTGTTTTGTTCAGGAGTAAGACTTGTTTTTCTCCATTCGAATTTATTCATTTCCTAGTTCCTAGTGTAGTTCTCACTATGCACCATGGCTTAACATATAATCCATCAGCATTTTTATGTTCTTCTCTCTTGAATTAAAAAATGAAAGTAGGGGTAGATGGGTTGATTATGTGAGGATTGCTATGTTTTTCAGACTGCTATATTGCAACTTTTGAGTAGTGTCCAAAAAGATCCCCATTATTCTGTGTCTCTCCTAATACTTGTCCAGAAAAATAAAAAATTGAGTAAGAATGAGAAAACAGTTGAATGTATTATCACGGTTGGAAAATTCAAGTATACGAGTAATAGTTCAAGAATATGAGTAAGAATGAAAAATTAAAATAACGGATAAGTAAGAAAGACGTATAATCTAATATCTGGGTTGAAAGTGGTGTTAATATCTTATATGAGTTAATTTCATATCTCATTAGTATTATCTTTTTTAGGAAAAACCCCTTCAAAGATCAAACAATTGACTCTCTCTTCACCATCCTACATTATTAATAATGAATGTGTATCCGTCACGAATTAGAATTTAAAAGTGAATAAACAAAATCGTAACCATGACAGATTAGAGTTCTAAAGCGGACAATACCTCCTTAATTATGTTATCATAACGAATACGAAGCAGATACACTTTTATTTCTAAATACGTGAGAATCTATAGTTAGTTGCTTAATATGTGGTTTGCCATGGATAATTAGTTTCATTCCACTATTATAACTTATTTGAGTTTTGTATATTATAATCATTAGAAAAATTTCTGTACACTGCTTACACGGTTGCCTTAGTTTGAAGTTGTATTCTAGCTAGGTAGAAAATGTGTTGATTGCAATTTTAGATAAGATTGTATTGTACTCTCACATCTTTATTCTCATTATGTGTTTTCAGGCCATTGATAGAGGAGAAAACCTAACTATTCTTGCAGATAAGACAGAGACATTGCGTTCACAGGTGAGAAATGTTGACTAAGATTACATACATTTTTTTCTTCTTTAACTCATGCTTTCAAGGCTGGGATCTTTCTAACTTTCAGGCTCAAGATTTCAGAAAGCAAGGAACACAAATCCGTCAAAAGATGTGGTATCAGAACATGAAAATGAAATTAGTTGTTCTAGGAATTTTGTTGTTTTTGGTCTTGGTTATTTGGCTTTCTATTTGTGGTGGATTTGACTGTACAAACTAGCAGTGATTGAAGGTTTCCAAATAGGATTTTTTAAGATGATGTACAAGTGAACAATTTAGCAAGAAATCAACTGAAAAGAGGGAGTTTAGCAATTGGAAAAAACTTTCCTTTTAATATATAAAATAATGTTATCAACTTAATTCCTTTTTGAAATGATTACTTAAGGAAAATTTGATTTATGCATAGATAGCTATCACAGTCGTTGAATTACAAACTCATCTACTCATATTAAAGGGATTTAAAATTCATGTAAAAGATTAGGAATAAGTCTTTATTTGAATTCAATGATGAAAAATGAGGTAGTAGAAAAGGAAATGCTTCAAATTAAAAGAAATAAAAGAGATATTGAAGATTTTTTTTAATTATAATATTATATTTATTTGCTTCATTTATTATTTACATATTAATATTAATAATATTTTATTCATTTATTATGTTTTTTTTAAATTGAAATTAAAAAAAATTAACATTAGATTACTTTTACTACTTAATGATAGCATGAATTATGATGATTTTTTTATATATCTATTTTTTTTTTATAAATAGGACTCACCTAATGTTATAAAACTACTTACCTTTTTTTATGTCTTATTTTAATAACTATTTACTTCTTTATTTGAATCTAATGGAGATAATAGTTATTATTTGTAAATAGTGTAAAAAAAATTAAATATATAAATTTATTTTTTCAATTAAACTTATCTGTTTATTCACAAAATTTAATAATAAAAAATAAATTCGTTTAATATAATATAATTATTTTTTTTATTATATTTATTTTCTTATTTCTCTTTTCATTTATTTTTTATAATTTTTTAGTGTGTTTTTTTTTCTTTATTTTTTTTCTTCTTTCACTCCTTCTTATTTTTCTAATTAAAAATACTATATTGAAATTTGATAAAATGGATCTTTTATTATTTAAAAAAATAAAAATATTTAAATTATTTAAAGATATTATAATTTAATATATTATATTTTAAAAAAATTATATAATAAATTTGGGATATTACAAATATTAGTGTTATGTTATAATCATTAAGAAAAAAATTAAGCATGTTAAAGTAATTTTTTTAATATTTAGATTAAATTAATAAATAAAAAATGCATTTAACTCATCAATATTTAATATTTTTTAATTAGATAATAATTGATTTATCATGATAAAACAATTTTAAATTAATTATTTATTTTTATAATAAATAAAATTATTTAACTTGTATCATTGATTTTTTTAGTTTTAATATTGATTTTTAAAATATTACTCTAAAATATTTATATTAAATTTTAATATAGTAATTTTGGTTAGAAAAATAAGTGAGAGGAAAACACAAGAGAGCTGGGATAGAAAGAGAAAAAAAATAAAGAGAAAAGAAGAATTACATATCAAATTTAAACTGATTTTTTAATAAATAAATTGATAGATATTCTATTAAATATTTTGTAAAAAATATATTATTTATAAAATTAATTATCTAAATATACATATTAATCAAAACGCACAATTACATGAAATACTAATATTTATAAATATTTATTATTTGTAAATTATTTGATTTTGATTTTTTAATAATATAAACAAAAAACTTAATGATAAGATTAACTTGACTATTCAAATTAAGTATAGGTTTTAGAAACTCAATGTTAATTACTTTTGAATAATCATTTAATTTTATAAGTTTTTGTTATGTATGTATTTATTATGGAAATCTATAAAAATATATTAAAAACATTAAAACTATTTGGAAGTTTTTATTAAAATAATTGAAAGATTATGATTTTTCTTCTTCTAAGTTATAAAAATGTAACGGTTTAGACTTTTAACTCCACGTACCATGTTGAACACCTATTTCTTTTTATAAAACTACAATCTTGTATTAAAATATTTATTATACACTAAATTAGCTAGAAATTTTATAAATAACTTGAGAAGAAAAATCACAAAAACAAAAATTTAAATCTACTTCTTTTTAACAAAAGTAATTAAAACTTTTATTATGCCCCTTTATTGAGGGAGTACGTAACAAGTTATTGATTTGAAAGTCAAGTGTAAGCATGAAATGCTTAACTCAACTCCATGGTTTACATAGAAAGAAACACAAATTCAGAATCAAACAAACATTACATGCAGGGGCCTGTTACTTGTTACTTAACGTGGAAGAAGTTCTTGTTGTTGACGACTATGTCATACATGTTAGTGGGCGTGAACTTGGTGAAATCCTTTGGGAGGGAGATTAGGTTTATGGAGGAGCGTTTGTGGAACTGAAGATAGTTAGGGTCATCATAGAAACGCTCCCATCCTTGTGCCTTCAGCATTTTCTCCAGCACTGCGTAGGAAGTAATGGGTTCATTGGTTGGAGTGTGAACCAGCACCTTCAGCTTCCCCTTCGGATCATTCTTATCAGACCCAGGGTTTTCCACTAGCCTCACCACACCGTTCTTGAATACCCAAACCCCAGACATTCTCAGTCTTGAAGAACAACAAAGAAAGTGTGTTTCTTTTTTCAGTGTTTGAGAAGTAGTGTGCAATGCATTTAAGATGGGGTGGGAGAGTATATTTATAAATGAGGAAAAAGATAAACATCCATTAAAAAATATTTTTCTTTATTAAAGTTTCCCTTTATTCAAATTAAAAATATAATTTAAAAAGTTAAAAGATACCCAAAATCAATGTTACATCCAGTACTAACAAAAAAAAATTATATATATATACACGTTCGATAAAACAATAATAAAATATTTTATAATTTTCGCTTGTAAAATGTTTGATGTTTTTTTCATTTAAAACTTAGTATTTTTTTATTTTTTATTTTTTATTTTAAGAATTCAAGAGTGTAAATTTGTTATTGTGTAAGAATAAAAAAATAGTAACATATCACAAAGAAATATTTATAATGTTTTTTTTTATTATAAATATTTTAAGGGTTTTTTTAATGTAAAATTAATTTTTTATGTAAATTTGACTCGTATATCTCATTGAAATATCCCATTATCAATTGAAGAATGATTATTATATTAAAAGTCTTATGGACTTTGGGTAAAACAAGAGTATTCGTTTGAAGAAAGTTGAGATTGTGAAGAGTTTAAAATATTGTGATACCATTAAGAGATTCTTTGCTTTGTAAGGAGAAAATTACTCCATAAAGAAACCGAGAGTAAAGAATAAAGTGTGAACATAGAAGATGTCATCTCTGCACATTAATTATAGCAAAACTAGGCTCATTAGGACAAAAAATATTGTAGCAGTAACACAACTTTATACCATTTGGACTAAATACATATATTTTATTAGGAAAAAGATTATGCTCCTGCCACGCTAGACTCAAGTGAATATATTCCCTTTCTAAAAAATTTCCATGATTCGTGGGAAGAAAGATGAAAGGAAATGGTCTCAAATAATTTTGATTGATATTGTGGAAAACTAATGAAGATTGTTTATATTAATTTGGATCTCCATATGTATGAAGGAGGTTTTGCATGCATTTATTTGCTTTGGTTTAAGCTGTCTACTTTCGGTGTAAAGTGATGGCTGATCCTTCTATGTTTTTTATAAACAACTGTTATATTTTGACAACTACGAACTATATAACTTTTTAAATAACTCATTTTTATTAATATAATAATCTATAATATAATTTAATAAAAATAAAAATAAAGTTATTTATAGGAATAGTATGAATTTAGATAGTAAAAGTATCATTTTCCTTTTATAAATAACATATAGTGATATATATATATATATAGTAGGAATGGAATTTTACAATATCATAAATCTATTTGAATTTTAAAAAACGTGTCTTGGCATCTTTGTATTCAAAGTTCCACTAGAAAATTTCAAAATAAAAAATTCTAAAAGAAGCTAGGGGTGAGTCCCACAAATTTATAATTTTTTTTTATATTAATTAATTTTAAATTGAAATTTGACATAATATCTAAATATTTTAATCTTATTTTTAATCAATAAAAATGTTTGAGAACTTAATTATTTTTAGTCCACAAGGATATTAAAAAAAATCTTTTTTCTATTTATCTCAATTATTGTATTTACGTTGGTTGATAAATCCTAAAATGCGATAGTTAAAAAAACAATAATAAATAATCTTAACATGTTTACCAAAAAATATTATCAAATAATTGAGTTATATTATATTACGTCACTGAATAAAATAATTTATTTAAAAATCATTTAGTAGAAAAAAAATATCAAAACAATTGTTTTAATTTTTTTAATAATTATAATATAACAATACCTATATAAATAAATAATACTCACATGCAATAAAATTATCAAATAAACAATATTTTTAATTATATACTATCGTGCATGAATTGAAAGAATAAATGGAAGGTGCAGAATGTTGATGACAAGACAGGGGTGTAGAGATTTGGTCCAGTCAAAAAGAGGAAACTAATCTCCATGGGTGGATCCTTTTGAGCATGAAAAAAAGTGAGCACTGAATGAAAAAGAGAACCTGGCCCATGCAAGAGCATAATGGGCTTAGGGCATGATTGAGACCCAATGTGGAATTTGATGGGCTTTTTCTTTTGTGGTGTATAGTATCCTTCATCTCTATGGATTGGTTGAGAGAGAGAGAGAGGGGCATGGGAGCATTGCAGATCCTTGTCATACAATTCCAACAATCTGTGTGGGGCACACATGATGATGTTGTTTTGTCCAATCAACTGTGCCAGATTTTCAAATACATACAAACCAAATATTCTTTCTTACCATACAGAATCTACAGATCCATCACTCACGTTTCAAATCATTTCTCATATGTTCATCACAAATGCCTCTATATATTCACATCGTCACGTTTACAAATATTTCTTTCCAATAAAATAATAAATAAAAATAATCAGTTTCATGTTATTTGGAAGTTAAGAGGAATACTAATTTTTATATATCTTTTTTCTTCAATCAATTAAAGTAATTTTTAAAGATAAAATATAATAAATTAGAATTTTAAAATACACTATGATATGGAACATAAGATTAAGACAATTTTATTCTTAAATTGATAAAAAACAATTAAAAAGTTACAATTTTAAGTCACATCTATTAAAAATATAAAAATATTATATTTAGCATAATGTTATCCACTCTTTTATGAAAATAAATAAAAAAATTGATTAAACATTTTAAAAATGACTTATATTTGTTTTAAACTTAAAATATTTTTTGAGTAGTATCGTATTACTATTCTAGTTTTTTTGTTATGCATTAATGTTGAGATGGTACTTAATATAATGTTGGGATCATTGATTTTTTTTTTCTATACAAATAAATATAGTTATTATTTTAACTGTTATTATATATTATACATTTTATATATAGTCGTTGCTAGAATTTCTTTTGCAAGAATGAATCTAATTTTTATCTATTTATTTTAAATTGATAATTTTTATTTTTATTTTTTTTAAATAGTCCTTTATTTTTCTCTTTGAGTCTAAAAATAATTGTATTTTTCCAAAATTTAATATATAAAGATTACATTTATATTTTTTTCTTCTGAAATTGGGAGACTATAATGTTTTATTTTCTTCTAAATTGAAGGACCAGTTACTTCACATTTATATAAGTTAAACGAGAAAATGAGAAAAAAAGTTTATATATTTAAACGAGAAAAAGTAACTAAAGTAAAAAATATACTTTTTAATAGGTTAGAATAATTTTTTTTATATAAGTATATACTAAATAATGTTGAATAATATTTTTACGGTGAAATATGTTTATGGTAATGGTAAAATATGTAATAATTGGATATAAGATTTAAGATCAGGCAATTTATTTTAAAATAATATAAATTAATAATAATTAATATTATGTATAAATTTGTAGTCAGTAGATTATAAGATTAGGGGTAAAATAAAATTTTTCATATATTTAATAAAATCTTCCTGGACACTCGAATATATATATATATATATATATATATATATATATATATATATATATTAAATATTCTTTTATATATTTACATTTTATTAAAACTGAAGTAAGAATATTTGGTGTCTATCATGGGACAGATAGAGTTTCATATTCTTTAGTCTTTGATTTGGAACTATATTTAGATATATTTATGAGTCTCATATTACTTATAGGTTGAGCTTAATAATAATTTATATATACTCTTTTCTTTTAATCTATCGAAACGTATTTTAAAGACAAAACTATGACGACTAAAACTTTAAAATGGATAAAACTTTAAATATAAAAATTAATCTTATCAATATTATATTATAATAATAATGAAATCAACATACCATCATTCTTAAAAAGAATAATAACTATTTTTATTTTATTAGGTGGGTTAGTAGTTATTAAAATATTAAAGTAAAGATAATTACATTTTAAAATTAACATAATTTTTGTATTATTTGAATATATTACATATTTTATTATCAAAAGCATATTTTATCCATTACCTTAATCGGTGACAGAAGTTGATGCTTACATTTTAAAAAAGAAAAGCAATTTGAGAAGATACTATAAATACAATTAAAGCACGCCTTAAACTTCAATTGAAAAGCAATGCTTTCACGTGTTGGTGGGTTGAGCATGTCGAGTGTGGGGTTTGATCCTCTTTTATGGTATTCTCATCTCTCTTTCTTTACCTTTCTCTTAATATAGAATACCAATGTATGGTTCTCAATTTTACACCTTCCATTCAAAATTCTAATTGCTACACCAATTTCTTACTTTTTAAGTTTATACATTAACAAAAACTGTTTTTTTTTTTATAATTTATAAATATATTTATTATATATATATATATATATATATATATTTTACAATTATTTACAAATGTCTTTTGAAAATTAACAATTTTATAAATATATTTGCATACACACATATAACTTAAATATATGTGCAATTTTAATTAGAGAATATGAATAATAAAAAATATTTTAAACTATATAAAAACAATTATATTCATAATTTTCTTTCATGAAACTTGAATAATGTAATTTTTTTTAATTTATGTTTAAATTATGGTTAAAAATTACATTTTTATTTCTACCATCAGTTAATTTAAATTAAATTATATATTTGAGTTATCAATTTCAATGAATTAAATTAGTGTTACCTGAATAAATACAATTTTGTATTTGCTGTAATTTAATAAAATAAAATAAAATAGATGGTTTAGCATTATAAATTAGAATATATAATTTAATTCTATACACTCTTTTATACCTTTTGAAGTATGCATTTTACGTATTACTTCCCAACTAGTTAAAAAAATATTTTACTAATCTTCTGGCACTATTATCTTTCTTTTATTTTCTCTAAATACATTCTTCTTAATTACTTTTTTCTATTTATTATAAATATATATTCATTAAAAATTATATATATATATAATTATATTTTAGTTATAATATAATTAGATATTTAAAAATTTGTTGGAGATCCCATCAATGACCAAAATATAATATACACTAAGAGGTAAACCTGCTTTGAATTAGATATTTATTAATTTCTAATAAAAATGGTGTTCATTATCTTTTGCCATTCAACTATAACAATCTTACGAATTTTAATATTAATTTTTATATATTTTACTATTATTATTTTTTTAGTTTTTGTATATTTGTTGATATGTTAAAATTATAACAAAATAACAAAAAGATCAAATTCATTTTTAAAATAAAAATTTCATGACATGTATTTTGTTAAAAAAAACAAATTTACATAATAAATAAAAAATAGATGTTTAATAATCAAATATGTGAAAGAAAAGTTGAGTAAATTACTAGAAAATTGGGTTTTCACGTTGGTTATTTTGAGCATTTTAAATAAGGGAGCTCAAAATAGACGAGTTTAATCCAACTTATTTTATAGTGAGCTAGAATTTTAATAACTCGGCTCAACTCACTACGGATTGATGGGTTAGGTGGATTGACTCACTAACCTATGTATTTTTTTTCTTTTTAATAAGCACGATTGAAGTGTGAGACTGAAACACAATGGTGTGGTGACACCGTAAATAGTGTTATGCGACTGAAACGTGATAAATGAAATTAAAACATTGTGGCGCGACTAAAAGGTAGTGGTTCAGTGACATGACTGAAACACGACAAATACTGTGACATGACTGAAACATGGTGGTGCAACAAATGCAATGAACAGACTGACACAATGACACGACGAACGAATGACAAGCTTGAGTGAGATTTTGACTTATAACGGTAGCACGAAGTAGTGCTGGAGAGACAATATAATATCAATTAGGATTACTAAATTATTATAATTACTTTAAAAATTTAAAATGAATGGGGTTGCGGGTCAACCCACTATAATCCGAGTTGAAGCCCTTTAACCTGTGGTTAAGTGGTAGAAATAAAAAAAAATCAAACTCAATCCAATTTAAATCCATAGTGAGTTGAGTTGGTTCATGAGTTATAATCCATATTAACACCTCTAATTTTATATTGATTGTTGAACCGATGTAAATGTCACAAATGTAAAAGATGTGAGAGTTTTTACATCGGTTAACAATCGATGTAAAAAGTAAATATATAATATTGATTGTAAATGAAAATAATGTAATATGTCACTTTTTGCATCAATTATAGGCTATAACCGATATAGAAAGTGATATATTACATCAGTTAGTTTTACAATCGAAGTTACATGTCCGATTTTTTTTTTTAATTAATATGTATCACACTTATAAATATCAACATTTTCACACATAATCACTGATAGAGTGTTATTTGTTTTTTATACTTTCCCACACAATAACAGAACAATATTAATACCAATATACGATATTAACGTTAATTTTTTATTCATTTTTAATAAAATTTATCATATAATCAGTAAAAAAAATAAAAGTGATATACTTATATATATAAGGATGACAATAAGAGAAAGACACAAGATGACAATGACATAGAGAAATGGTGACAATGTCTTAGACAATAAAAAAAGTTTCATCTTCATTCTTTTTTGCGTTAGAGTAATTGATAAAAAATGGATAATTGTACAATAACTTTGTTTCATTGTGTTGATTGAATAATATTTGGAAATGAAGAAGTTTTAAAAGAAATTTTTTTAAAGATGATAAATTTTGAAAAAGAATTTAAAAAAGGAGAAGCTTTGAACACAAAAATCTTTATAAAAAACGAGGTTTGAGATAATACCAAGAGAAAAATTTTTAAGACAAAAATAAAAAAATATAAAATAATAATATATAAAATGTTGCAGGTAGCATCAATTGTCCTGTGACGAAGGTCGAGTGGCAGAGTCACAATTGAATCGTGGCGCTTGGGTCGTTAAAGTAAAAAGAGTTGCGCCTCGACTAATGGCTATAGCTTTTGGCCTAGTGGTAAGCGCTCGATCCTAACAATTGGTATCGAGCCAAGGTCACGAGTTCGATTCCTGTGGGCAATTGTTGAGGGGGAGATTGTTGCAGGTTGCACAATTGTCCCGTGGCGGAGGCCGGTGGGCCAAGTCACAATCCAAGAGTGGGATACCTTGTAGGACAATTGCTGAGGGGAGATTGTTGCAGGTAGCATCAATTGTCCTGTGACGAAGGTCAGTGGGCCGAGTCACAATTGAATCGTGGTGCTTGGGTCGTTAAAGTAAAAAGAGTTACGCTCGACTAATGGCTATAGCTTTTGGCCTAGTGGTAGCGCTCGATCCTAACATAAAAGACTCTTTAATTTCAATTATTATATATATAATATCATTTTCTTTAATATTTAAATATTATATTGATTATATATAATATCATTACCTTTTAAAATTAGTATAATATTTAAATATTATATCGATTCTAAAAAAACCGATATTACAGGTGAGATATTAAAAATTCATTAATTATTATAAAAATTGTCATCCGCATTCATTTAAATAAATTCCCTATAAAATAATCCATTAAAATCTAATTTTAAAATTAATAATGACGTTGATTAGTCATGCTTAATTTTTTGAACTAAATATATAATTAGACAATGATTAAGTTGAACTGGTTAATACTATCTAATTTTAAAAACCCTAATTTAATGATATTTTAAAAGAAAAACTTTGAGATGAGAAATGTCATCCTTACCTCAAAATTATGACATTAGAAAGAGGAAAAAAAATGAATATGATTTTTTTTTAATAAAATGAAAAAAGAAAAAAGAGGTATTCCTTTCCTTACACAGAGGATCATGCTTACATGGATTGCGGCTTGAGCAAGAGGGAGAAGTCAACTTGACATGAATAGAACCTCCCCACACGTGACACTTTTCATTCCCCCATACTTCCCCATGTCATCCATCACATGCATATTGTTGCATAGCCATTTTCAAGTGGATAATGCTTTTACTTGAGGTTCTCCCCTTTGTTTCACATCATTTTTTTTTAATATTTATAATTTCTCAAAATTATAAAAAACAAAGGATAAATGTTGGACACTAAATAATAAAAATAAGCAACACGTAGTCTCTCCATATAGAGTGAGGAATGGAAAGAAAGATTTGGTAATATATATAAGTTTTTTTTTTTATAAATTAGGATACAAAACAAAAACATTCTTCATTCCCTTAAGTTTTATTCTTGCCATGCTATTTATACGCATCAAATAATATACTATTTTATCACTTTTTAAAGATTTTTTTAAAGCAACAAATGAATATTTTCTTTTATTATTTACAACTAAAAAAGTTTAGAAGACATAAAAAAAATAATCATTTTTTGTGTTAAAAATTTATTATATAACTAGTTTAGACACATGTAAATTTGTTTCTGATCTTCAATCTGCATGAAACAAAAGAACAGTCACAAAGATATACATATGCTGTTCTAACGAAAATTAGAAGTACATAACGCAATCCCCTATTATTTTCCAACAGAAATGAACTCAACGCAAATCTCAATGTGAATATATGGGAAAACTCAAGTTTGATTAGAATGATTACAAAGATTTACATCAAGACAAACAAATCCACTCCTCAGGCTTTGGACCATAACTCTATACATCCGGATATTAATCATACCCGAGACTCATATACAGAATACACAAATTAATGTCCCCAACCTTTAGACACAGGTCACAAATCCAAAAGCAAACCAGCAACACATATAAATCAGAAAATCAAGAAAGAAATTTTCCCTCCCAAGAATTCAATTTTGTAGGGTACAGAAAGAGTGAGACACGAGAAGGAGAGAGCATGATGGTTTTCGACACCCTCACATGTCTCTAACTTCGAAGTAGTTCTTGTTCTTGACGACTATGTCATACATGTGCATGGACCTGAACTTGCTGAAATCCCTTGGGAGGGAGATTAGGTGCACGGTGGAGCGTTTGTGGAACTGAAGCAAATCAGGGTCATCATAGTAACGTTCCCACCCGAGTGAACTCAACTTGTGCTCTAGCACTGCGTAGGAACTGATGATTTCATTGCTTGCAGAGTGAACCAACACCTTGCGCTCAGAGCCAGGGTTCTCCACTAGCCTCACCACACCGTTCTTGAAAACCCAAACCCCAGACATTCTTAGACTGAAACAATAACTGGTTGAAGAAGAACAAACAAAGTGTGAGTTTTTTTGAGTGCTTAACAAGTAGTGTGCAATGCAAGATGGAGAGGGAAGTATGGTCTTGATATCTATATATAGTAGTGAAATGAAGTAATGGGTAAGATGGGATTTTGATTTTGTTTTTTGTTTTTATTTTCACAAAAATATAATGTACAAATATGCAATAAAAACTCTATATAGTGGTGATAAAGACAATATATAGAGTAGGGGGATGTTTGGATGTGAGTACAGCTAAGGTGGGACCCACAGGGAGAGTACCCTAGCTATTAGCTTTATATGCTTGGAAGAAGGGGGTGTTTGGGGACTCATTTAATCACCCTTTGGTCTTAATCGGATTGGGGGAATCCTGATTCCCTTAACCATTTGCGGATCCAAAGTTTTGCTACCCCACCTTAAGAGAATCTTTGTTTTATAAGAGAAACTTATTCTAGAAACAAAATCACAGTTAATAGAATAATATATGAACTTGGTGTGAATATATATATATATATATATATATATATATATATATATATATATATTTAAGAGAATAGTTGTGGAAGTATAATTTATAGAAAGATAGTTGGGAGCACATTTGCACATGAAAATATAGCAATTTAAGCTCATTATTAATTTAATGGGGCCAAAACTAATATACTAACCCTAGTATCACAAATTTGTAACATTAACTATTGGTGAAGAAAAAATTGTGTGTGGGAGAAAGTGGAAAAATGTCATTTAGACTTGAATGTGGGTGTGGAATAAATTTCTCAAAGAAGAAAGGAGGATGCTTATGCACGGTAGACTCAAGTGAGCAATATGCTCTTTGAAAAAGGTTTTTCAATGGTTTGTGGGGAGGATATCATGAACATAGTGGGGGTGGGGACCCAAGATGAAAGGAATTTTTCTCTATTTATTCTGATAGTTAGGGTTGGAAAATAAACTTTGATTTTCATTAGAATTCCATGTCTGTGTGGGAGATTTTCCATGCATTTCTTTTTGTTGCCTAACTTATGCTAATTGTTATTTCCTGTAATATAAGGGTTTATGTTTGCTTAAGTTTTGATTGTTCAATCGCCATCCTTCAAATCATATTACATGATTTACAGAATAAAGAAAAAGATGATGCAAGAAAAAATTAAAAAATTTATGGGACTGTAAGAGAAATTACACAATTTATTGGACATGAGGTCAATGGATTATAACAAAGAATAATATACTTTTTCTCCCCCATCAACCCAAATCCTTGTGAAAATGACCATATTCATATGAACAATATCCGTTTGCAGCTTTCTTTCCAGCTATATAGGGAATGGATTAGGTAGGTAGCTGGTTTACACTAGCTACTGTAATTGATATCTGCACTTATTCCCTTGTGGCTAATGATCCATGGAAACAAAAAAGGTATAAGAATAATATTCCACCACTGGAATGATACAAGATATGTAACACATAAATTTGAACCTGTAATATTGTATGGCTTTTAACTCTAGTAAGACATGTACCTGATTCATCAAGTGCTATCTTTGACTCCATTCTTCAGATGTTAGTCTTTTATATTTTATATTAATTCTTTTGAAACTGAAGGATCACAGTAGTGGAATTTTCTGGAAGATGGGGAAATGGGCATGAGCACAAGTTGTTGTTGCTGAGAGTGAATAAAAGTGGAGCTAGATTCCAACCAAATCAAAGTTGTAGGACTTTGGGACACACATTCTCTTTAACCCAACACCTTGGTCATGACTCTGCATCAAATAGCCATCTACTCCTCGTGCCACACGGTCCTGTGACTACGATGCCTAGCTACACTCACCAAACTCTAATTAAATTTGCCATATACTGTGACAAAGATTTTGATGGTGGCTTCTCCTTTGGTCAATTTAGCTTAAATTCCCTTGGGTGCCGATTGGACCACGTGAGAGTTTTCAATTTCTAATGTTCCGTCAATTAGTTGATATATAACTGCATATAGTTGAACTCTCCTATAAATGCAAACTCAGTATAAATAATTTGTTCTCTAAATTCCCAGTGGATGCACCTGATAGGCACCAAATTTGTAAGATTCTTCCCAGTTAGTCATCTAAAAAACTTGTACGTAGAGAAAGTAAATGAAAATCATATCCTGCTTTATTATTACTATCAGCAACCCTAGGTAGCAGACAACACAACCAAAACCAGTTGAGGTGGCACCAGAACTTGGTAATTTGAACAACTCACATCACATGTGAGCTTTCTTGAGAAGCTATGTCAACATTTATTGGTGCAATAAAGTTATTGGGAGAACATATGCTTAACCTTTGTATACATGCTGGTTCTTTAATCCCATGTAACAACATACTGAGAATCACAAAGGGTTGGCTCCACAGCAGATGGAAAACACCCCCCACAACACAGGTTTACAGCAAGCCCATGTGATTGCCACATAGAAAAGCCAAAATCCTAGACCTATATTTAACAAAACAAGATACTAGCACCTATCGCATCATTCCCATGTATCTTTCCATATTAGCCTCTCCTTTTAAAAGAAGGGTTCTACTAGTTGCTGGCTAGGGCTTTGCGTCATATAATAGGTTGCTTTCTTAATAACACTATCACACATATGGTAGGTGGGTGTACTAAGCATAATCCAAAGTTCATCATTTAAATTTGTGAATCTCTTGGTGTTTCGTACATTTATAAATCTCACGTTGAAGTAATAATAATTTATATATATTTTTATTTTTTATTTATCAAAATGTTTTTTTAGTAACTAAATCATGACCGAATGTTCCAAAATCAACAATTCCTTGATGAAATATATATATATATATATATATATATATATATATATATATATATATATATTATTCATATTGTGATGTTAATAGAGTTTCTTATTGTTTTTAATTAAAATATTTTAGACCGAATCAGATTTGGAAAGCGACAAGGATTATCAAAATATTGTAGCTTAAATAAATACTTTACCTTTATATTAATTATTTTCATGTTTTATAGTTGAATAGTCTTCTTGTACGAGGTATTAGTTATTTTACATTTAATTATCACATTATTATGTTTTATTACAGAGGATTGTAAGGTATTTGAATTCCCAAGATTTTTTTTTTTTAAATATATATATTGTTAGTAGTATGCGTAGGTGTGAGGTTAAAGTAATACATATAAAGATTTCACAAAATTCATTTTAAAATGTACCACTTTTTTTTTTCATTATTAATAATGATATAAAGATAAGAATTTCCACGATTTTTTTCCATACAAGCCTCAATTTTGTTAATTAAATGTGATAGTGGTTATTTTTTGTAGTTGAGGGTGTCCGATATTATGTTTATTAATAATATCGTTAAGATTAATAGAATGTTTTATTATTGATCTTAATTTTTTTAGTGATATCATACCTATAAGGATACACAACACTTATTTTTCGTTATGAGTTTTATTTACTTCATTTATTAGAACCCTATGACCGGATTTATAAGTGTACACAACACTTATTTTTCTTCATGAGTTTTATTTACTTCGTCTGTTAGAACCCGATGTAACCCTAAAAACCTATGACTGGATGCAACCTAGACCAGAATTGAGTATATGAAAGATTTTGATGGTCTAGAATCTAGTTTTATAATTACTAAAATTTTAAAAATAGGGTAGGTTAAATAAAAAAATATAAATTTAATTAAATTCTCAATAATAATAATAATATATAATATAATTTGATAATAATTATGATGATGAAAATAGCCAAAGTTAATGATGGTGTGGTAGAACTAATATAAAGATTGTTGTGATTTGTATGAGAATAATGATAAAGATTATGCAGTACTTTTAATATATATTCAAGTTAACAAATGGTTTATATATTTAAAAATATTTTTTTCTCAACAAAATGATAGTTTTAGAAAAAATGGAGTATTAAAGAGGGATAACAATAAAGATGATAAATTACCTACCAACATATCGATCAATAATGATTTTATTATTTAATACTTTTTAACTCAATTCTTTTTAGAATAAAATATATATTATTTAATACTTATTAATTTATTAAATAATTAATTATAATTAATAAGATAATATGATTATCCTAACTTATTGTATTATCAAATAAATTCCACTCTAGTATGAATATTAAAAACTAACAAAACTAGACCTAATTGGTTTTATTTGTTTTTTTCAAATGTATCATAATTTTCCTAAACGGAGAGAGAATGAATGGGGAAATTTAGGATAGAAAAGAATAAGATTAAAGCTAACACAAAACGATTAACTTCTTAATATATGTTGTTAATTAGGTTTGAGATTGACTTTGATTAAAATAAAAGATTAAATGAGGGACTCTTACATATATTATTTTGAGAATAAAGTACTAAACATAAGGAATGAAGCATCAATTCTCTCGGATAGGATTTGATCTAGTGATTAGTGAAATAATATTTCCATGATGGAGTTGTTTATATAATTTTTTCATAATAAATTTTTAATTTTTATATAACAATGATTAATATATTATATTTTTTTATTCTCTTCTTTTATACACAATGTATGTAAAAAGTAGAATTTGATTTATACGCATTATCATGAAAAATATTTTGCACGAAAGTTTAATAAGATTTTATTATTTAACTATTTAATAACTTTTTTTGTTACTTCTACATAAAATTATTTACAATAACAACAAATATAAATTAAGAAAAAGTAGATTGGGCACGATTTTTTGATGGAATTTACACACAATCATCTACGATAAATTTGTCAACTCATATAAAATTTTTCTTAAAATTTATTAGTTTAATCACTGTTATATCATTTATCATAATTTTGTTCATTTTATCATTATTTTTTTCTCATATATTACCATTAACTTCTTTTATTTTTTTATACCTTTCTTTTTTTAACATTTCACTATTATATATTTTTTAGTTTTACGTATTTTACTATTACATTAGTAACAAAACGATGATGTTTTACAAAAATGTAAA